TGGTGTTAAAACAGCTCATTCCATTTTTTGTATTAAATGTTTTGCATTAGAGTTTATTTTGGTGTACATTAAAGCACACTCTACTTTGAATTTAGTTTTTTGTCAAAGTTAAAAACTCATTCATTTTACGCGCCATTTTGTACGCCACAGTACCTAAATCGAACAACCACAATTTGGGCCTTTCTCTCTTAAAAGACAGCCTAATCGCCTGAGCAGACACTAAGTCTTTCATAAATCAATCTAACTTTCAAACAAAGATCATAACTCCAACGCAACGACTCCGCTGGAAAACTTAAATTACTCTTTTTTCCGCATTACGAGTGCGAATAATCTTCTTGACGGCCTACGTAATTGATGGCTGCTAAAAAACCGGCACCTCAAAATCCGACGAACTTTTTACGTCAGCCAAGTTTCACTTAAGAAAGTTTCTACATCCATTTAGAAGTTGTTCCTATACGACAAGCTGACAAATTTTAATGAACCCAAGAGGGTTGCTAATGTCTGCGAGTGGCGTAATGGGAAAAGTTCGGCGCCTCCGCGCGAACGCCGACGTACCGTCATTTTTACTCACGTCACTAACTTCTATTGTCTTCGAAGGCATATTTAATAAAGTCACGCGGGAACAACGATCTTCATTTAGAGAACTTCTGCTAATAAAATTGATCGCTCAACGAATTATACTTTATATGAATGCTTCTCGTAACCGTATACCCCTGGGCGAGTACCAACAAAAAGCGCAATAGTTCTGACGTGTGCCGCATCAACTCTTTCAAACGAACTCCGCTCGGTATAAATTACATTATAAATTTCAACAGTCAGTGACCGGCGAAAAAATGTATTATAGAGCCACATGATTGTGATTTAAACGGCTAACCCCCGCTTAAGGGCGGTCCCCGCGTCATCCATCATACGCTTTACATATGTTTGAATAAAGCCCGTGGGAAAAGGATTTCCTCTCAGAAGTCAAAGTGCGATTTAGTCACTAAACGGTGACCAAAATGTCCACACCGAGTTGGCTTTTTGTTTTTGAAAAATCGACACAAAACCATAGTTTTATTTGTGCCCATTTATTGAAATATATCATAATGTGACAATAATAAATGTGGATTTATTGTATTAATTGGCATATTCTAAATATTTTGTATAATCTACTCTGAATTGCTTAGAAATTCTTTTTTAACGAAATCTTCAAATTCGCTCTGTAAGAAATGAAGTACGTTTAAACAAATATATTTATTTATACATAATTTAATTTTACGGAAATAAAATTTCTGTATTAAAACATGGGAACCCTACACTGCTGCTACTGCCTCGTACAAATAGCTGGATTAGGGCAGTTTGGCAAACAAGGCGTCGCCGGCGTGTGCCGTCGCCCTTACAACTAATGTTGTATTAATGTCTATTACTGCCTTTTGTTCCGAAGCTGAAGCTAACGATCTATTTCGATTTATTTTGCTAAAACGACGGCTTAAGCTCACAAGAGATGTTAATGTGCTAAATTAAGCTTCACGACTTAAAAAAAAACTGTTACAATTCATAGTAAATTCCAACATGACCATTAAAAGACAGGTTGTTATTATTATTTAAAAATAAACAATCTTATGTTTCAAATTCGTGAACTATAAAATCTCGCAAAAATCGTACTCAATAAAATTTTAAACGTTTAACAATTTTAATAAATCACATCGGGAATTAGTATTATGCCTAACAGAAAATGTATCTCAGAATACGATTAAAATTTAGTCATAATAGTAGAGAGAGTTCGACACGACGAAAATATCTGCGATAAAGCTTAATGACTTGAAGGGGTGGGTGCCTTATCGTGGAGCACGTGTCGGCTCCGATGTAACCTTGACTCCTTATACCTACTCACTGAAAGTTTTAATCACAGCATACTCTTCAAAATAGTTAATATAGTATAGTATAATAGTTAAATATAATATAATAATTAAATAATAATAGTATAATAGTTTAGAAAAACAAAAAATACGCTTTTATAGAAAATCCAACTAAGAAATTAATTGATAATATTTTGAAAATGACATATTAATAATATCCTGAAGAGTACCCCACGCTTTTTTACAATAAAATCATTTTTTCTTACAGTATTTTTAATTCAAATTTATTAAAATTTATTTTCTATTTTTTAGTTGAATTTTTTTTAAATATTGAATTGTCGTCGGTCCTTAACAAGTATGCCAAATTTTGAGTTAATCCGACGTTTTGAAGCGGCTCAAAATCATGTTCAAAGATTCCGTTACATACATACGTCTGAAGCTAATAAAAGCGTATTAAAAAGAAACTAAAATGTCCAAAGGCTCACATACTACATTAGATACGTACAATTATCATGCATTAATTTATTTAAAATAGAATAAAATTTAGAGAGTAGCTTATAGAGCTATTGTGGATAAAAATAACTCTCTCCCTTATCTCATTACAACTCAGAGCCCACAAAGCGATCTCATTACCGGCGTTTCACTTTACACTTCCTGCTCATTCGTGTGCAATCTGTAGTGTGCAAATCCGTTAATCTTATTTGGTGGGTAGTAGTAGATGCACGTGGCGCCACGTGGCGCGGAATCAAACTAATCTCAGTGACGTACGCGTCGGCGAGCCAGCGCGTGCGTCATCCCGATAACGCCAAGAAACACCATTCATTCCCGCTCTTTTGTCGCGAACAATCGCTTATTTATTTATGATATTTGCTACTAGTAACCTGCCACCCTCGCCGCTTAATGCCCTTAACGGGGCTAAAGGTTTTCTGTAAAGGAAACTAGAAATTCTGATTAAGTAAACAGGACTAAATTAATTCAAAAAAGATTCTCCATGCACTAGGTACCAATTCTTTTTTAATATTATTTAGAAATTGTTGAAATGGAGGCGCTCTAAACAGCGACTTGGCTCTACCCCTGGCATTACTAACATCCATAAGCGACGGTGACCAATCAATAAAATAAAAAAGGAACGAGATAATTCTTTTATAACTTATTCTTAACTTTCTTTGACATCTGTGATCAATGCCATTTTACGATTCCCGATAATTCTTACTTAGACCATCAATCGGAAATCGTGCGTAACTGTACTTACTCGACGAATCCGACGCTCGATCCAACAGTCAAGAGCGCTAACTGGTTTTCCTCGTCGATCTCCTCGATTACGACGGCGAGTTCGACGAGCGAACTAACCCATACACACAGCCCACTGATTTCTAGCCGGATCTTCTCAGTAGGTCGCGATTCCGATCCGGTGGTAGATTCTGCGAAACAGTGCTCTTGCTAAGGCTAGCAATAGCAAATTCACTCAGGTTGAGCCCGTGAGCTCACCCACCCGTTCGGGCGTAGCTGGAATAGCCTCTCAGGCGAATAGGTAGGGAAAAAAAGCTAACTGGTTTACCAACGAGTTGGTCATATTATCTTAAGAAAGTTAAAATAATGTATTTATCTTTTCGTTAAGAACATAGTCTCTCCTTATTATATTGACATAGGTACCTTTGTTTATTATAAATCCTCGAGACATTTTATTAATTCTATGTCAATCTAATCGTTTGCTATTTTGTCCGACTAACGTATTGCCATTTCATTAGAATATCGATTGCAAAAAATACCAATAACATTTATGATTTAATTTATTATTATTTTTAAAATAAACTTAACTGTGTCTATTAAGTAACTACAATTTTTGTACAGTTCCGTACATTTTAGAAATTCTTTTACGTAGAAACTAATTTATTACTCTGTGTTTATGGAATAACAATAAGATTTTAATTTCATATTTTTCCAGGACTCAAGACTAAAATGTTAAATCCTGCTTATTGTTAAACATGAGAAAAAACTTCAAGGTAGGCTCTTATAGTCATAGCACATAATGGTCTTTACTTAAAAATATATTTAAAAAAATCTATGGAACAAAATATTCCAATTTTAAATTTAAATTAGCTACTCAAACATAATACCTGTGCTGTGAGTCATTAAAGGATTAACCGAAGGATGGGCAGCAACGTTTTCGTCCGGCCACCGTCCTCGTCGAACCCGTCGCTTGCGATGAAGGGCTGGACGAGCGAACTAACCCATAGACACAGCCCACCGAGTGTCTCGCCGGATCTTCTCAGTAAGTCGCGTTTCCGATCCGTTGGTAGATTCTCCGAAGCACTGCTCTTGCTAGGGTCAGTGTTAGCATCACTCCGGTTTGAGCCCCGTGAGCTCACCTACTAGTTAAGGTTACGCTGAAATAGCCTCTCAAGGCTATCAGCTTAGGTAGGAAAAAAAAAAGAACGTTTTCTCATACTTACAAACGAATTATATGGGCTTCAACATACGATCTCAAAACTTACCACGTCCTAAAAATTTCCAGGGCCAAAACGTAAAAGTAGCCACACACTTGAAATCTCGATCAATTGTGTAAGACTACCCGAACTTTCGTATAACACGCATAGAATGCTAATGTCCATTCTTCAGTGAATCCCGAAGCGGGAAGAGAGTGAAGGTGAAGAGGGTGAAGCTATTCATGGACACCACACAGCAAAATCTTATTCTTTTCTATTAATAATCTAATAGCAATCGGCCCTTCTGTTTTAAAAAATATAATATATATTATGCTATGTGTACGCTATATTACGTATTCATGGTTTGTTTCTTCAATCGCAGCTTGGCACATCACAAATTATTATTTATTGTTGCCTCGCTGACATGTGGTTATCAATTAACAAGTTCACGTTGAATCACAAAAAAATAAACTATTAAATTTATATCTAGAACTTTTTCAAATGATATTATTTTAAAGAGAAGTAGTAAAACAGAAATAGCTGCCCGAAATTTTCAAATAATGCATTGAAATCTCGAGATGTTCCAACTTTTGCCTGAATGATTATTTCATCTCATTTCGTATCATCTAATCCCATTTCATTTCTTTCTACTTCATACCTTAATCGCTTGCTTAAATGGCTTCGCCTTTTTTACATGAAATTGGCTGTAAGTTCTATATTTCTTTTGCCTGATGAATCTAAATGAAACTAAAAATTAAACACTAAAAGCAAAACAAATAAATTTTAATAAATTCAGGTTATAAGATTGTGAAACCTCTAACATAACATAGTGTATATTTTTTAAGTTTTCTATTACAACCTAAATTAATACTAACCAATTAAAACTTCCCTACGTTCTATTTCACAAACAAAAGAATCAATATTTTATTCAAATGGGTGATGATGACGAATATGCCTGTGTCAACAAGACACAGCTGAAAATAAAAGATAATTCTGGAATTAAGAAGAGAAAGAAAAAGAAAGCCAAAAAAGAAACTGAAAAGATAGTAGAAAAAGAAATAAAACAACAAATCCAGCAACCAACCAATGTCGATCGAAGAACCAAAGCCGAGATTGCATATCAAAATATGCAGGAAAAAATGGTATGTTTTAATGCTCTTAACAGACAAGCTTACGGCCCACCCAATCATAAATTGGCAAGCTGGTAGCAGTTATATCAGCCTTCCATCAACAATTACAGTGTATGCAATCTTTTTATAAGTGTTTTTTATTAGGCATTCTATTCTTTCATAGTAGAAGTTTATGGTGAACAACACCTAGATCACAACACAAGATACATTTTAGAAATACTATATAACTCTAATAAATAACACACACAATTTAATTATCAAAAAAAAAGAACATAATTTTCCTAACCTAAAAGTACATGTTATTAATAAATAATAAATTGTTCTAATAAATTAAATAACCTTAGTTATACTTCAATGTAAATATCTATAATGTGAAAAATTATATTATTTCAAGAACCTTATTGAAAATGTAAAAACAATTGTGGTTATTTCCTGGCCTTTTAATTGAGAATTTCCACTTGCTTAAATGGGGAAACAAACTTACCAGTGAATTCTTACTGGTGAATGCAATATTTTGTTATAGTACACCAAGAACACTGGGGCCCGTTCTCCAGTAAATTCCGGAGACTTTTAACAAGCACCACAGGAAGAGATCGGGGTCCTTTTCTAGGCTGACATGGCTTTAAACATCAAAAACATTTTGAGAATATAATTTATAAAAAAATCCTCATCATTAATATTACTTTACCTTGTTTCCAGCAAAAACAAAGAATATTACAAAAGGCTGAGATGACACATAAGCAGAGAGTGGAAAAATTTAATCAACACCTTGACAGTTTGACAGAGCACTTTGATATTCCAAAAGTTTCTTGGACTAAATAAAATCATGAACAGCAAAGGATACAATTTTCTATTGTAAATATGTGAAAAGTACTAACAGACTAAAATTTCAAATCAAATTGCAGCAAAGTTTTTACATTTTATAATTTTTTTTGGTAATTAAGATAACCACTATATAATCCTATATGTATTTTTTCCTGTATTAGTAATGTATGCCCAATCTGCTGGAAATGGCACTCAAGTACCAAACTAACTAGAATGCCACCATTCACCGTGAGTCTAGAGAACTGAACTTTGTATTGTATTATTAGGCTTAAACTAGAATGTGCTGATCTTGCAGAAAAAGGTCTGTAGTAGGTTAATTAATGGTAATGTTAGTTTTCTCAAGAATGGCTCAGAAGTACCACTACTCTACATAGTGATGTCCATGAACAAAGGATAATACATACACGATAGAAGAGAAAATGTGAGGACGACATGGTGATACAAGCCACAATATTCATGAACGGTGCAACCTTAGTTCCACTGTATAAAAAGTAATAAATGAGTTACGTATTATGGATATGTTTGTGAAATGTGAAATAAAAAGTATTTATAAAAGTAATAAATGAGTTACTTATTATGGATATAAGTTTGTGAAATGTGAAATAAAAAGTATTTATAATAGTGCTATGCCTTTAAATAATACAACTATATTTATGTTAAGTCCTATTTATTTGATCCGTAACTTACAGCTAAAATATAATATTTTGAAAATATTATCATTGGACGGATTCAATGAGAATGTATTAAGTAGCTGCCTTTGAATACAATAAAAAAAGATAAAAGATTATGACCTTAAAATCAAAACTATCATCAAATTTGGAAAATTACAACTAATTACTAAAAAACAAAAAACGTAATATAGTTAGAATTTATATAGTATATAATTTGGACGGAAATATAGAATTGTACAGAATTATTTAAAACTACATTTGGTTAAAAACTGCAATAAACAAAAGTATAGATCCTAAAATACTTATTTTAATTATTATTGATATTTTAAGGCACATTGTTTGCAGATTGTCAGAACTTGAAACAGCCCTAATTGTGTGACAATTGGCATTATGTAAAAAATTACTCAATTTAACCAAGAACACTTGGCTGTAAGGTGCAAACTGGGAATGGACTGGTCACATTATTTTTGGATAGTGGATGTTATATATTTTATAAAATTTTAAATATAACATGGTTATATCAGATCCAAATTTACTAAATGCTATTACTAGTACTATTAGTAAATACTATCACTGACATTGAAATTTCATATCGATTTTTTTAATATCTGGATGAATTACTAAAATGATATCTATATATTCATTTAAAAACGACCAGTTGACATATGAACGTATAAACCACATGGAACAAAATAATATAGAAAGATTTTTTGACAACCTCAAGTATTTAAATCTTATTCAATTTTACAGCATTCTACAATTCTTAAAATAGAGCTCGTCATGATAATACTACTCTCCGAATTCTGATCACGCAGAAGCACGTCACCGTCATCGCCCTGGACACGTCCTAACTCTTGCATTAGATACCTTCAACTCTAACATTAGAGCAGGTTAGAGGAACTCCGGTAACCGTACTTGTCGAACTCGACAAAGAGGTCGACGTGCAACCTAACCCATGCATCAGCTTGCTGAGTTTCTCGCCGGATCTTCTCAGCGGGTCGCGGTTCCGACCCGGTAGTAGATTCATTCGCGAAGCAGTTTTGCTCTTGAGTTGTTAAGTCTCCTTCAGAGGCGCTCGGGCAGCAAATCCCACCCTTTCTGGCTGAGCCTTTGCTCGCCCACCTATCCAGGTGAAACTGGAAAGGCCTCTGGGCCACCAGTAATACTTCAATCATAAAAAAAATATATATATATATTATAGCTACCGGGAGTGCAATATACAGTTGAAATCCTACAAGAGTGGTAAGATTGATTAAATATAATGCATACTTATAACTATACGTACGAATAAATTGCACATTAAGGCACATAATTTATGACTATGTCACACTTGAGATTCTGTAGTTTGTTAATTGGGAAAATATATGAGTCCAACGGCATACATAAATGCAACAGTCGCCTATGTTATCTATTAGTTTACATACATCTTTAAAGAGCTGTGAGAAACATTATTATTCTTTTAATATTTTCCAATTCTTGAAAAGTAGAAATGGTATGAATTGTATTAGTACAATATTCAGAACTCGTCATTTTAGTAACACACTATAACATATGCAACTTAATCAATCTAAACTAAGTTACTAACATCATTGTATTACAAAAGTTAAGGCCACCATTATCAGTGATGATAAACTGATACTTAGCAAAGTGGCACTGCTTGAACTCCAATATGAGTATGTTAGAATTCGAATTAGGCTTTCTTTTGCGCTCCAAGGGTCGCTGCCATCGTCAAAATGCATAGGACACTGGTCTCTTTCTCTCTCGTATTCTTCCATTTCTACGGCGACAGCAGCCCCCTCTGTGTAATTCCATGATGTTACATCCTGTTTTAAATCACAGTATGGACCTAAGGCTTGTGACATTAACACTCTGCAAAAAATAATAATACATCAATCTTTTGTTTACATGATCTTTATTTTTGCATGCTTTTTTATTTATTTATTGCATAGCTGGGTAGACAAGCTCACAGCCCACCTGGGGTTAAGACGTTACTGAAGCCTATGGACATCAACAACGTAAATGCTGCCATCCTCATTGAGATATGAGTTCTAATATGAGGTCTCAGTATGGTTACAATGGCTGCCCTACCCTTCAAACCGAAACGCATTACTGCTTCACGGCAGAAATAGGCTGAGTGATGGTACCAACCCATGCGGCACAAGAGGTTTTACCACCAGTAGTATGGTATAATATGGCAAGTATACTTTGTTAATTGCCATTGATGGCAGACAACGCCCACGTAATGGTAAAAGTTCATTATTGCCCGTGAATCATCAGTAATATCGAGGATAAGGTTAAACAAATGTTTACGTTTTGGATCCATTTCAAATGTTCGAATAAAAAAGCAAGGTTTTATATATGGAATGACCATAGCTCACCTGTTTAAATCAGCTCTTTGATACACCCAACACCTGTATTTAGAGAAAGGATCTAACTCATCAAATGTTATCAAATATGACTTCAAATTCTCCTTCCAATATCCAATACATTTCATTTTGTAATCTGGGTCACTGTATATATCCACTGGTCTTCCCAAATAATCTACTGTCAGACAATAATTTTCCTTTATTTGTATAGTTTTCTGATCAAAATCACACACAGAGAAGTCACTTATATTGATTTTACAATACAAATTAGGTCGAGGACTCAAAGTAACTCCACCGAGAATCCTGGTTTCAAATTTTACATCGCCTTTTTGGGTAAAATTGAATTTTCCAGCTACAGGGCAACGAATAGGTGATGGATCTTTCCTAAGAAAAATATCGTAACGCCACTGTTGTTTATTCGGGAACTGTACCCAGGAACACACAGTGTGAAAGTTGCTCTGAATCATGGCCAATCCTTTGCGATACCTAAGAAAAAATTAAATACTTCAATTAGGTATTCATTTTAACGATTTGAAATAAATGAACTAATAAACCTGAAAAGTACCGTATGATATTGTGATGCCTTGGTACGAAATCAAAACAAATGTAATCCTTCTGGCAACCATCAACAGTGAGACGAGCCATCATTACACGAGTATCCCGTTGTTCTCTGTAATAAGGAACTCAATTCAAATATTATACATAACTATTTGATAACTACATTTCTCTTCAACTTCTTGAGAATTTCTTGTTGAGGAAGTTTCTTACCTACCTAGTATTGTGTATTTAAATACCAATTTTACCTGCAAACATAAATAGTTCTTCTGTATCTGCCTTCATCGGGATAATATGTTTCAATTATATGAGTTTCATTAATAAATACATCTGCATCAATATTGGCTGTATTCACCCATTCTCCAGAAAAATTCTGTGGCAAGCGACAACCTGGTTCTACTACTTCAGCCTGATAAAATAATATATCATTAAAATCATTATTTAAAGCTAAATATGTTTCTTATACTGATGGATATATAATTATTTTATTAACAATTGTTTGCTAATCAAAATATACAAAATTAATCTTTCATTACTCGCAATTCATTGTTATTTACCTTTACAGGAGTTACTCTGTATCTTTCGGGTGATTTCTCCACAGTTTTCAGGGTATTACACTCGGGAGTGATGGATGCACCAATGTATAGGTCATCATCTCTGTTCTTGAGGAAACAACGGTATTTCTCATCCTTGCGGGATTCCTTAGTGTTTGCGACAGCAAAGAAGTGATTCTTATCCACAAACCAATGACCTGCAGATCAATAGCTTTCAATAAAAATAAGACAATTCTTACCCTTACTTCCAACATAATTGATCTAAAATACACTATTTTACCTAAACAACTGTATTCAACTACACCATCAAAAGTATTAGACATTCCTTGGCATCTCCTGTATGTTATATTAAATTTTTGATTAGTAATAAGAAACTGAGTTCCGGCAGTTTGACAGGATTTGATCTGGGCATCAGGATGATTGCATTCTCCAGTGAAACGGAAGCGGTTTTGGTATGCAAATTGCCATACACCCTCAAGAGAAGAACGGCAGTTGACCTAAAACATTTTATTGTTAAATCAGTTTGATAGGTTCATGATTCTAGTATTACATATTTCTGTTCTATTAACCAGTATAAATTGCAGAATAATGATAATAAACAATTATAAAATAAACAATAAAATAATGTAATAAACTATAACAAACAATCATAATGTAAAAAGACTAATTATCTTAATAAAAATACTAACCGGCACATAATTTTCAGAAAATAACGTAATTAGGTTCTGATCAGGGTTTAAGCCTCTACACACTCTGTCAACAGTTGGTTCTTCATCTGGATCTAACCCTACACAGGGAGTTTCAATTTTCTCCAAAACATTTACAGTTCGTACAATAAGTTTAACACAATAATAACAGTTTGTATATTGAAACACCATTGTATAGTTCACCCGGAATTCCGCTTTGATATTCACACACACTCCTCTGAAAATAATTTTACATTTCAATTTAGTTGACGTTAAGCCAAATTTATCATACAAGAAAGTTGTTTACCTGCCGGTCATATCGCTGGCATTAATATCAGTTACAGTTTGTCGTCCATTCTCAAAAGAAAACCAAGTATTCCTCAATACAATTGGAATATTACATTCTGATGAAACGGTAGTAACTAAAATAGTAAAAATGTTAATGTTAAAATTTTGTACTGGGGCGTCACCCATACATTGTTCTGAACATATTATTTACTCACTTCTTACGCCAAAAATACAAAGCAGACATATTAAATAAAAGGTATGTGCCATTTTGCTAGTTTGAACTATTTAAAATTCTATATTTTTAATTCACGAATTATAAATTTTTAACGGATCTTAATTCTAATTTTGCTTCTATTTGGAAAATTGAATGGAATAAACGAAGCATAGACAATATAACAACTTTTGGTTTAAATGGGTTTTTTTAGTCCATGGCAAGGGCAAATAGAAAAAGGCTATTATACTATTAACCAAAGAATGGGCAGGAGAGTTCTCGGAGTATCAAACTACTCATAAATCGGGATAATCTTTCTAGTGTGAGCACTGCAGGTGTTTTCGAAGTAAGATGCTCTTAATGTTTTGATCACGTGATCACGAAATCATTAGCGCTATTTCGGATACTTCCAACTTTAACTTTTTGTTTGCAGGTGGACACTTTCTCAACTTGTCACTACAAGATAGTGCTCCTTACTCCTTACTTCTACCGTCCATACATTACCCATACTCTAATGTAGTGGAAAGTAGAGCAGAAGATCTCTGGGCTGAAAAATAAAAAAATTACATACAATGCAAGTGTTTTACAATATGTACCATGGTGACCATTTCAAGCAAAAATTGATTTTGTTTTGTATATTTTTTTCATTACAAGCCTAATGAGGAAGGAGAGAGAACTAACTAAGAAAATGCTTAGTTATTTAAAGTTTTATAGCCTAAAAAAAGTCTCCTAGAGTTAATTAAAATTGTTAAGGCCATATTTATTTACTAGATTGATTACATGTGAATATGAAATGCATTTCCTAGTGACTAATTAAGTTTTTTTTTTATATTGCTAAGTTAGGTGGACGAGCTCACAGCCCACCTGGTGTTAAGTGGTTACTGGAGCCCATAGACATCTACAACGTAAATGCGCCACCCACCTCGAGATATAAGTTCTAAGGTCTCAAGTATAGTTACGACGGCTGCCCCGCCCTTCAAACCGAAACGCATTACTGCTTCACGGCAGAAATAAGCAGGGTGGTGGTACCTACCCGCGCGGACTCTCAAGAGGACCTACCACCAGTAATTACGCAAATTATAATTTTGCGGGTTTGATTTTTGTTACACGATGTTATTCCTTTACCGTGGAAGTCAATCGTGAACATTTGTTGAGTACGTATTTCATTAAAAATTGGTACCCACCTGAGATTCAAACATCAGTGCATCGCTCAACACGAATAAAAGTACATGCCTACAGGCACAGATGCCTAAACATTAAAAATTTCACTTAAAGGACTTCAAATGAGAAAGGAAAAAAAATTAGCCTGTTCAAAAAAATATATACGGTACCTACCTACCTATCAATTACCTACCTACTGTCACCTGTTTAAAAATGTCTTATCTATGACTGTCACTGTCAATTTGTCAAACATCCAAACAAAAAAACGACATCTGAATTTATTGAATATTCGACTGTTGTTTTTAGATTTAAATCAGCAACAAGTACGCTTATATTTCGCTTTAAGACATTTTCACCTATTATAAGCTCAAATATAAATATCAAAACTGCTTTTTAATTTTATTTTAAAGTAACTAACAACTGAAATGCTAATTACTACTTAAATTTTAGGTATGGGACGTCGAAAATCAAAAAGGAAGCCACCACCAAAACGAAAGGCTACAGAGGCACTGGATCAGCAATTTAACTGTCCGTTTTGCAATCATGAAAAATCCTGCGAAGTAAAAATGTATGATCTTATAAAATTCTTTAAGTACTCTTTTTTTCTCCATAAACGGAAGTTAGAATATGTAATTTCACAGAAATGTTAAAGAACACAAACTCTTACCTCTTTTCAGGGATCGCGCAAGGAATACTGCACGAATACAGTGTCGAGTTTGTTTAGAAGATTTCCAAACTACAACAAATGTTTTGTCTGAGCCAATAGATGTATATAATGACTGGGTGGATGCTTGTGAAAGTGCGAATTAAATAAGAATTTTTAGTTTAAGTTTTTCAATTATGAAATGAATATATTGATCTATATATATGGTTTTAGTATTAAATTTACCACACATAGCTTAAAGCACCAGGTGTATCACCTCAATCTCAGTGTGTTAAAATTTTGCAGCAGTTGAAAAGTCTACATTCACAAAATAGTTAAATTCTATAATTAGCAAAAATATTTACCATACACAGATAGAGATTGCTGGAGCAGTCATAAGCATATTACAACCTCTGATGACCACTCAACCTAGAGTAGGTTGTGAGCGTCTTATCTGACCATTTATAGTAATAAAAAAGTACTTTTAAATGTTACATTATGTTGGTGCAAACATAAATACTCAGCGTTCAACTATGACCTTTGGAGAAACTTATAAACTTTCAAGAAATTCAGTTCAAATTTATAAGTAGAACTAAATTAATTGGTTTACATTAAGTAATATAAAAAGATAAATTTAATCAGATAAGTAGATCAACTCCTAGAGATGACAAAATTTCCTTGCAAAATTATCTAGTCATTTATTTTAACTATTTTAAATTCTGTTAGGGTTATCTAAACAAAATAATTATTATTTACATAGCAATATGTACCTAATAAAAGACAACATGAATATATAAATATTGCATTGCTATTTATGTAAGTTTAAGAAATATGTTTATTTACTATTTTATATTCACTGATTATCATTAAAGAGAAAACTTCAATGATGTGTTGGAATTGACATGCGTTTTTTTAAAGTTATTATTTATATTGCTTTGAAAAAGCAGACATGCTGACGGGTCTATGTTACAGCATCAGATACTGGTGCCTGAGTCAAAGAGATTACCAGTTACCCCACGCTTATAACTGCTTCATAATAGATATATGACATAGTAGATAGTAAATATAACATAGGACTCTAAGAATCATTGTCGCCTAAAGAATAAGAGGCCTGATGTACTTGAATAGAGCAATACGGTTTTATGAAGATTTCAATTCTAAAAAGCAGATACAATTTTTTTCTAATGAAGTACATTCTTTAACTTTACATACTTCTACAATGAAGAAACAACATCGTGCAATATGAATATAACCATAAAAAAAATACTACATAATGGATACAGCTCAAGTCTAAAGGTAATGCTGGAACCACACTGCGTTATGCGCTATTCGTTATGTGACTATGGCGTATTCGCCAAAATATATGTTAAGCGCGCAAGCAAGAAACATGCCATCCACACTTCGAACTTTGCGCTGAATTATGCCAAATAAGGCAAATATGTGTCTTGTTTGCGTGGAGCGATGGACGTGTTGAGAGTTGCCGCAATTTATTATTTCCTAAATGTTTCTTAGCAATACTTGTGGTACGAAGTTACTAAAAGATCTAAAAGACCGAAAATAAAACGCTAGTGGATGATTACAAGTCATAAGACACATCGATATACGACCGCCACAAGCGAGCGAATGACTCATCGAAGTGTGGGCAGTCGATGCGCATATTCGCCTTATTCGTGTCCTTTGAAGTGTGTCAAAAAACCGACAAGTCGACGGATACGCGTATTTGCTATTCGTCCTTATGTGTTATGCGTACGAATAAAGCGAATATTGGCGAATATACTCTCCACACTTCGCCGTATGCGCGTGAATAGCTCGCATAACGAATAGCGAATAGCGCAGTGTGGTTCCGGCATGAGTTATGTCTATGTTCATCAGTAAGCATTTAAAACTTGGTGGGCCGTCAGCTCGATCACGTGTCTATAGCAATAAAGAAAAAAAACAGGAAGTTGATGCTGTCTCCCTATCGAAAAAATATATGTTTTACTAGCGACCCGCCCTCGCTTCGCTTCGGAAACATTAAATTTTATTATTGATAGCTGAGTCCCGCGATGTTACCCGTGGTTATTATCGTACCGCGGGTGAAGCCGCAGGGCGAAGCTAGTCTAAAAAAAAGTAGCCTAAGTTACTCCTTATCAGCTACCTAAGCTTAAAACATTTTTTTTATGTTACAAATATCGAGATATTATGTACTCTCGATGGTTACAAAGGAGAAATCTGTTTGTCCTTACAGATCCATCAGATCCAATAAATCTTGTGTTTAGGCACCTTCAGCTCTAACACTAGGAGCCGGCTTAGGGACCCCGGTACCCGTACTCGTCAAACTCGGCAAGGACCGAGCAACCTAACCCATACATCAGCCCTCTGAGTTTCTCGCCGGGTCTTCTACGAGGGTCGCGGTTCCGATCCGGTTGTTAGCTTAGATGTTAGGTCTCCTTTGGAAGCGCTCAGGCAGCTCTTAGCAAATCCCACCCCTCCTGGCTGAACCTTTGCTCGCCCACCTGTTCTGATGTTACTGGAGAGGCCTACGTGTCACCAGTAATCCCTCATTCATAAAACAAAAGAAAAAGAGAGGGATCTATTAATATAAATTACTGAAAATCTGTTGAAAATAAAAAAAAACTGGATTTAGGTTAATCTAAGAAATAAAACGAACTAATCCAATAATTATATTTTTAACAGATTTATTATATAAGGATTCAGCCACTGTTTTCATACAAAGAACAATACAAATAACAGATGCATAATATAATAATAATGAGTCGTTGTAATAACATAAATAAATAAATAATTACTGTCACTGTCTCAGATAATCTATATTGNAAAAAAAAACTGGATTTAGGTTAATCTAAGAAATAAAACGAACTAATCCAATAATTATATTTTTAACAGATTTATTATATAAGGATTCAGCCACTGTTTTCATACAAAGAACAATACAAATAACAGATGCATAATATAATAATAATGAGTCGTTGTAATAACATAAATAAATAAATAATTACTGTCACTGTCTCAGATAATCTATATTGAGATGATGTCTAAAATATTATAGTTATTTCAACATGTTAGATTGAATTATTTAACTCAATATAGTGACTATATTTTGTGTATACCTACTCATGACCTTAAATTATTTTAAATCCTCCAGCACTATTTATTTCACTAACGCCGACTAAAAGGGATTTATTTAAGTAAATTTCACTGAATGATATTAACAGTAGTGTAATAGTATGTAGTATATTACTACTAATAATAATAAAGTACTAGTAAATACTACAGCATGGTACTACTAATAGTTGTACAATACGGCTAGGTACTGTACTAGTAGTGTGCTATCACTAGTATTTTGTAGTGGAATGTACATTTACATTCAGTAACAACAAGAAATAGTAATATGCCCTTTAATGGCAATAAAAATACAATAACAGAAAAGATATTAATATTCCTACATATTCATTTATTTCTATTTGTCATATGTGTAATATAGATATTAAAGTTTTCTTCAATCGTCAATACATCCTTCTAATAAATAGGTGCACAATATAATTGACTGCTAAGCTTGCACATGCCACCATCTAACAAATTGTACTAACATTTAAAAATGCAAAAGCCTTGCATTCTAATTTTTTAACAACGATAATCTGAAGTAGCCTATTATAATACTATTTCATTGACAACATTCACTTATAAACTATACAGATTGATTCAACTTTCTATAAACACAAAACAACTTGAAGTCGTATCACGTTTTATTACTGAATCAAAATTATATATGTATAATAAATTGATCTATTCAAAAGGAAATTATTAATACATCATTTTATACCAAGCCTTAACATACAACCCAGGGATTTCTGTAACCATGTCATTTCACGCAACAGGGTTTAAGTAACTATTCAGTGTTCGCTAGATATAGAGTAAATAATATTTACAAAAGGTATAAATTAACTACAAAAGAGGGCAATGACATGGTTACCGGAGTCGCATACCACCGAGCCCTTTACGGGCAACCCATCACCGTTTCATATTAGAACAGCTCAAACATAACATATTCTGCATATTAATCAAATAACACTACATAATTTCACTTTACAAGGTTAGAATTAAATACATCCAATAACACCGTAACATGGAACAACAGTTAAACACAGAGAAGCATTATTACATATTGGCGATACAAATATAATGGATATATGAGAGTTAAAACTTCCCCATATCTACAAAAGAGTCGTACTGCAAATCGGAACTGTCGCACACCGTGTGGTCGTCATCGGACAAGATGAAGTTGAGAGGAGTCAGCGGAAGCGTCCGACTATCCAAGTCACACGTTGCCGTGTCTGAGCTGTCACTGTTGCTGTCAATGTATTCCAATAATCTCGGTGTCTCTGGTTTCAAGCTCGAGTCCGACTCGTAAGAGCGAGTCGCGGCCGGTGGTTCCTCTAAATTGATAACGTCAAAGGAGTTTGAAAGCAATGCGTCTTCATACGACATCGCAACGATGTCTATATGGGATGAACTAGCTTCCTCTGTGTATCGGCCGGAATCTGCCATTTCAGAGAAACTTGGCGACATCGCCAAAGTATCCGTCCGCGACGTTACGTTCTCTGTTCGAACTAGAACGGTCGCGTGTGCCGGAGCCGTCGGCTGTGGAATAACGATTTCAGGTATTTCGTGTTTGTTCAGCGACGATGATGAGTCGTCCTCCGACAAGTCGCCGTCAGCGTTGAGCGTCACAGAGTCGCAATCTTTCTCAGGCGGTAGAGGCTCGATACCGTCCGCGCATTTAGTAGAATCATCGCTACTGTCCGAGACGACGAGTTCCACGCTGCGGTCCAAGAGCCCGGTGTCGGTGCAAGTCGACATTTCGTCTTCGAACACGATCTCGACGCTTCGGATACGCATGAGCGGCATTTTGGCGGGCGATATCTCGGTCCTTTTGGCGGCCATTTCTTTTTTGTGATAGCCGATGTCTAAGGGAGAGTCGGTGCTTTCGCTGACGTCATCGTAGTCTATTTCATAGCTGCGGAGGTCTGAAGTGCAAGGTGCGCACTCGGTTAGTTTGGCGCCGTGAGTTCTGGACGTACAAAGGGTCGCGGTGTGGTCGGTCGTGGGCGACGTGGTATGCGCGTGTAATCCCTAAGGTTGCGACGATTCTTATTGTATGGTTGTGCCGAGATCGACGCAGCCCTCCTCCTGCAACTTCGTGAGGAACTTGAACACTCTGTATTCTTCGTCGGTCTGCTTCACCATGTCGATTAGAGCGAGCAGCTTCTTTATACCGATGAAGATTCTGTAAAAAAAATACCGTCGTCAGTAATATAATAGATACATACATCGCACTTTTAGAATTATAANCGACGATTCTTATTGTATGGTTGTGCCGAGATCGACGCAGCCCTCCTCCTGCAACTTCGTGAGGAACTTGAACACTCTGTATTCTTCGTCGGTCTGCTTCACCATGTCGATTAGAGCGAGCAGCTTCTTTATACCGATGAAGATTCTGTAAAAAAAATACCGTCGTCAGTAATATAATAGATACATACATCGCACTTTTAGAATTATAAAGACCCAACCCAAAAAAAATGTTTTTTGGAAATCATCGAAAAAAGTTATCAAACCTAAAAGACGTACAGGAAGGGGACGTGGTGAAAGAGACCGATGGATAAGTTTGTTCCTTTTTAAGCTACTTTTGGTCATTTGATTAATAAGAATCACTTGAAAAGGGTCGTTCTAGGTCCATTTTTGAATTAAAGTCGAAATTCAAAATTTTTGAAATAGGTCTCTATATATCTAAAGGTGCGACATATACAAAGTGAGAAACGTGAAGTTTTCCCATTTAAAACCATTAAAAAGTACCTATTCTCAGACCATAAGTCCCAATGGAACTACAAACTTTTGGAACTGGAACTTCAAACGCGTTGCAGTCTCGTGACGTCAATTCTCTAATATGTAAAACTCATTACGTAATTAAGGTATACTCATATCGAATAATGTGATATTGTGGATAACCATTTTACAAAGCCTCTTGCTTAACGTAGGACTTTTTGGCGGAACGCGAGAAGTGCAGTTGTGTGATTTGTTTTATTTTGTCTATTTAGTGTTTCTTCGGGTTTAAATGTGTAATAATGCTGGTTTATTAATTGTTTAGTATCTGTGAAAGTGCACAAATATGGGAAAATTAAACAAAAACGCTGAACGTAACTTCTAGGGATCCTGCAAAAAGTCCGCTGAAAAAGTCTCAGTAAATGACCACCATTTTACTGAGATTATATTTCATCCCATATCAACTCCTCTCATTTCATTTCAAATTTTTTATGTGCTGCTGCAGTGGCGACCTCCCACATATGTTATACGTCAAAAAATGACAAAGCACTTACTTGGCTCCTCGCAGGTCGCTCTGTATCTTCTGCAGGTCGCGCTTGGAGAAGGCCTCGCTCTCCTCGAGCACCGACAGCAGGTGCTCGGGCTGCGATAGGTTCGGCACGTGGAGCACTCCCGTAAACGCAGACAGGATTTCCATGTCTTCCAACACTTGCCTGTTTTTAATCAATTGGACATTAACATAAACAATAACAGAGATTTTTTATTTTTTTATTTTTACAAAATATAACACGGGTCAACACCAAATTTGACTTTGATTGCAAAGCATAAAATTTCGATATTTTAGATCGTAATTAGACGAAAAAAAAATACATGACATGAAACAGTTTGCTAGTTTAGTGGCACTGTGTAAACGAAAACATCGCACTCTCATAGCGCGATTTTTTTTTAAAGTATTAAAATTAATTAAAATTTATAAAAAAAAATTAAAATTAGTATGATTACTATAAATATCACAAAAGCCAACTTTATACAAAAAAAAGGTGTTTTATTTTCGTTTTTGTGAATAATTAGCCGGAAAAACCTAGTATAAACGTTAGGACAAAGAACGAATTTTTTTTGTAGACTTGTGTAATGTATATAATTTGTTCTTGGGTAAGTCATTATGTGATTTACACATAAACTAATTAGGACAGGGTAATATTTCAATTACAATAATATTTTTTTTATTGCTTAGGTAGGTGGACGAGCTCACGGCCCACCTGGTGTTAAGTTACCGGAGCCTATAGACATCTACAACGTAAATGCCGCTACCCACATTGAGACATGAGCTCTAAGGTCTCAGTTCAGTACAACGGCTACCTCACCCTTCAAGGCAGTAATAGGCAGGGTGGTGGTACTTGCACGTGCGGACTCAAAAGACTTCCTACCAACAGTTAATTGTAATAATGTTACCTTCGGCTGCTCGTGCACAAGATGAGCAGTTTTCGTCCCTTGGGCGGCTGCTTCTTGAGGAGAACCAGCAGCGCCTGCAGCGTCAGGTTGGAGTAGCGCGGCCCGATCGGTCCGTAGTCCAACAGCCGCTCGATGTTGTCGACCAGGATGCACGACAGGCTCGAGCGGTACGCGTCGTCGAAATACTAAAACCCAATTCGTCCCATTGTACTAGATATACAGGATGTCCCAAAATTCAACGATAAGCCGGTACCAGTGTATGGTCGGGTCAATAATGCACGTCCAGTGAGAAATTATTTGGACCTAGAACATGTGGATCGGTCGTCTAGGTCCCATTGCGTGGCCGCCCCGTTCTCCGGATTTCAATCCACTGGATTTTTAATGGGGTTGCCTAAAAGACAAAGTCTATGCCAAACCAATTGCAGCAATTGATGAACTCCGTCAAAGAATCATGGAGGCTGCAGAAGATATGAGCAGACGGGGATATGCGAGACTCATTAAAAGATCATTTTTAAGGCGTTGTCACGCGTGTGTTGACGTAGATGGTCAACAATTTGAACATTTAATTTAAGTACGCAATAAATATCTTAATTTCTCATTATTACTTTCATTGAAACAGTTTTAAAACACTTTTTTGAACAGTAGGTAATGTTTTCAAAAACTATGTAAGCTAAATAATCCTTTTTGTGTCTTGATAAGAGAATTCTTAGAATTTTTACAAGTGTTGTCATAGTATTGGACTATTTTAGAATTGTGATGAGTTGCGTTAACTTTTGTAATAACATGCCATAGTACATTTCATACATTTTTTTTACACAGCAGCATGTCACTTGTTTAAAAGTTAAAATATTCTAAAATTTCAAGAAAAAAGATTGTTTATTTTATTTTTATATTAAAAACTACGAATGTTTTGGTCCTATTTGGAACTGCAATTAACAGTTATGTTACTTAGGTAGCTAGTACAAAAAAAAGTGGGGATATGTTCATATTTATAACCACAGTATCTGTTCATAGGGTGTAGGGTATCAAATTGCAACATTTTTCAAAAAAAGTTAATGTAGCTTTGAAAAAAAAAGAGCTGGATTTTTTTTATTATACAGGCTGACTGATTGAACACTTTACATATTGATATAGAGTACTCAGAGCTCGATTCTCGTTCTAATTAAGCAAAAAATAGGTGCCTGATATTTGCCTAATTTATCTTCAATTATCTACTCAAAACAATAAGCGTGGTCACTCGCGCGGCAATGATTGAATTCAACCCTGCTCTCACCCGCCGGACGACGCCTCAGAACTGCGGTGTCCACAAATTTCGAGTTTTTAGCAAATTAATATTATGAAGGTTTTCTCTGTACTTCATTTGTATTTTTTTTATTTTATATTTTTAAACGTTTCATTTGACCATGAAATTATCATGTCCTTGAGTATGTAAAGTGTTCAACCAGTCAGCCTGTACATGTATATATTTTCTGCTTTTTAATTTAAAAAAAATTGGTTGTGTTAGAATAAATTATTTGTTCGAATCCTACTCATACGCACGTCATTTACCTAATCGAATTGAAAATTTTGCAAGACTGTTGTTGATACCATAAAGATTTCTGACACAAAACCGTCAACGTATGATGAGGCAGTACACGAGTTACCTCAAAAAATATGTAGTTGTTTGCTACACGCTTAAGGCTTCGTCAAACAGAACGCGTAATTAGCGCGCGTCATAGCGCGGCGTCAGTTTAGCGCTCTACGCGCGCTAAGTACGCGTTCTGTTTGACGAAGGCTTTAGGGTTGGTAGCTGTGAAGTACGACATAAATAATTTTTTTAATGTATATGAATACTTTAAATTTCCAGGTGAGGTACTAAGATGTTTTTTTTTAAATCAAATCTTCAATATCTTTCATTGAACCGCCTCCTTCAGGTGGTATCAGGGTTTTCACTAATTACAATTTTTTTTTATTGCTTAGATGGGTGGACGAGCTCACAGCCCACCTAGTGTTAAGTGGTTACTGGAGCTCGTAGACATCAACAACGTAAATTCGCCACCCATGTTGAGATTGAGTTCTAGGGTCTCAAGTATAGTTATAATTTCTAGTTAAAATTTCTTTATATGAAAATATCACTTATAGTTCTCTCTCACCTTCCTAATCTGCAAGCATTTAGCTGTCTCCGTGAAGCCGACCATGTCTTCGGGCGAGCAAACCTTCACGAACGGGAAGTCCGACAGCTTGGCCAGTTGCGCGGCGAGGGCCGTCTTGCCACTGTTCGGGGGGCCCTCCAACAACACCGACACCAGACCTGGGAAATGTTACCGAGGTTGTTTCTTACATTTAAACATTTACAGATATTTCATTCCATTGACCAATTTAATTTTATTATTTTCAATTTAATTGTGAAATTTACGGATATAATATGTATGTGTACGTGTATGCATATATAAATATTTCACTGGATTGGTACACCGCGCGTAATTCGTTTCCAAATGATTCTTGTCCACCTGATGGTTGTCTGGAAGAGATCGCTCTTAGCGATAAGACCGCCAATTGTACTTTTTTGTATTTAATGTATCGCACTGTTTATTTGTTTTTTGGTGTACAATAAAGAATACTCTCTCTCTCTCTCTCTCTCTCTCTCTCTTTAATTGTGATAGTAGCCTCTAGATTCTAGCTTCAAATTTTCAGGCCGAACCCTTCGTCGCATCCGACAGGTTCGACAGTGATCGGTGCTTCCAATTAGGGATGGCGATTCTTTCCAAAAAAGATCGATTTTTAAATCGATTCGAATCGTAACCTGATAAATCGATTCATAAAAAAATCGAGGTCTAAAAAATCGATTTCTAAAAAATCGATTTTTTTCAAATTTGTATTTACAATGTAAATATAGATCCATTTTATGAAAAACAAAAATGATACCATAATAAACAATCTCTGGGATCTCTTATCAGTAAAATCAGGAATTTATTAGTTCAGGGAATTCGATAATTACAATTATTTTTATTACCATATCAAAATATCAGATCAGATATAAAAGAAGACATTTATTTTCTAAATGTATTTGTTACATTAAAAAGTTAAGAGAGCAGATAACAATAGCTTATAGTACCCAATGCTTCATATCTAAGCTTTTTTAAAACAACAATTTGTCAAGTCTAATGGGATCCAAGCGGTTCCGCTCATCACTTGCGATGTTGCCGGCAATCGAAAAATGGCGCTCACAGGGAACAGATGATCCTACGATACTCATATACATCACGGCTATTGAGTGAACATGGTGATAAATAGAGTTTTTTTGTTCTTGCCAATAAAGTATAGGATCATACTTTAGGTGCACAACTGCCTGTGATAAATAGTGTTTAAACTCTTCGTTTAAGCCTTGACTTTCCAGTGCAAGTGTATTACATGTAGAGAGTTGCTTTTTGACAAGCAACTTATGAAAATCCCAAATTCCTTTTTCTAAATCAGTCCCTTCTATTGCGTCGAATTCTTCACTATTATTTTGTGGAAGGTGTTTTTTACTAAAGAGAAGCGACGAAAACTAAACATACCGCCATCTCGCGAGTTTTTAAGTAATTAAACATTTAACTGGCAATGCCGTAATATTGTGAGTACATTCAGCTAATTCTAAATATTTTTTTTTTTTACCAAAACAGAAAAAATCGAAAGTCGATTTTCAAGGGTAAAATATCGATTCACTGAATCGATTCAGTACGACATATCGATTAAAAAAATCGATTTATTTGGTCCGAGAAATCGATTCTTCGATTAATCGATTTGAGATCGCCATCCCTACTTCCAATGCCTAAAAGCACCGAAGTCGACCGAAAAGTTCTGAAGTGATGTGTCCACTTAATGTTTAGTCTTTAAGTTTATTTCATTTTTTTAAATTAATAAATACAAATAATTTACTATTACTACTACTCAAAACGACTTTCGGAATCACTGTCTCAGGTTATATAATTAATAATACATCGCTTTTAAAATTCGGAATTTTTTACTGGACTTTTTAATCATATTTTATTATCGCTATGACTATGAATGTCAATTCGCCTTCATTCCGTATTTTATTTTTAATTCTTAGATGGGTGGACAAGGTCACAGCCTACCTGGTGTTAAGTGGAAGTACGTATTTCATTAGAAAAATTTATACCTGCCTGCGGGATTCGACCACGGTTGCATCGCTAGATACGAATACACCGGACGTGTTATCCTTTAGGCCACGACGACTAAAAAACTTCCGTTTGACCGAATATATTTGATGCAAAATCAAGAACAAATTTTCTTACCGCTGGCTTCGGTCGCCCGCGCCTGTTGAATATACAACTGTCCATCTTCAAATATAGAAGAAACAGGAGAGCCCCAATTGACGATGCCGCGAGCCAAGAAGTGCTCGAGCGCTTCGGCGGATGTACCGAAGGCCTGTTGGAGAAGAAAACCCATGAATCGATATAGACTATATCATTTTGGAGCCAATAAAATTGACAAACAAATTGATTGATTGAAATATATCAATTAAAACTTTAAAAGATTACTCAACAAGCTTTTTTTTAATGGAAAAGTAAGAATGAGTTGTTGCTATGATTAGTTCTTCATACAAATTTATATGGTTTAAGACAAACATGTATTTATTATTCACAATTTTGAATTTTTTTTATGTATGTACATAACATAATGTGTGTATGTACATAATATATACATACGAGTATACATTATTTAGATACATTATTTAAGTTAAAGAATTTCATATGTGATTCTTCAAATAGTGCCCTTGATGACTTTCCACCGATCAGACCGTAAACTCGACTGTTGGGCCAATGATACAAAATTATTTAAAACATTAATGTCTTACCGGTTTGATATCATTCTCCAAGGCGTGCAAGAAGTCGGTACGTTCGACCATAAGTTTCTCCATGGCTTCGGGATCGACTTCGACTTTGCTCGACGCCTTAATGAGTCTGTTCATGGCGGTCGACTGGGCGGCTCGGACCAAGCCCTCCAGCTCGGCCCCAGAGAAGTTCTTCGTTAATGTTGCCAACTCCTGCCGAATATTATAACCATTACTATGCTACTCAAAGAACTAAGTTGAAAATATACGAAGTCGACGACATGAGTAGCGAAGTCAAACTTCTGATATAACATAAGATATCATATAGCACCACGCGCATAAATAAATAATAATAATAATAAATAAATAAATAAATATTTACTAACAATCACGCCACGTTAACTGGTCCCGTGATAAGTTCGTAAAGAACTTGTGTTACAGGTACCAGATAACGGATATAAATATAAGATTTTTTATTATACACATACATATATTTAATATACATCCATAACCCTGGAAAAGACATTTATATTTATCATACAAATATCTTCTCTTAGCGGGATTCGAACCCGCGACCCCCTTGTGTAGTGACCATGTCACTTACCACTGCACCAGACGGCCGTTGGACAAATGGACGAGTTTCGGTATATTATACTGTTTCTTGAGATAGATATAACAATAATGTAGTTTAGTTAGCTATGGAGTATTAGTAAAGTGTATGTAGTATTGTATTTGTAAGCAAAATTGATCCTTAGAAGTTTAACTTCTTCAACGTTAATAGCGTTAATTTTCGATGCAGAGTTCCACACTAACCATAGAGTCGACGTCTTCGGCGATTTTCTTATACTCGCGCATGCGCTTGGTGTGAATGTTCAGTATCTGGACGCGCCCCTTCTCGTCGGGAAGGCCGATCTCCATCTGCACCTCGAGACGGCCGGGTCGGAGCAGGGCCTCGTCGATCATGTCGCGCCGATTCGTCATGCCGATCACCAGGATATTGTTCAGTTGGTCCACACCTACATAAGAACTTTTTAGTAGTTTCGATTCAATTTGGTGGAGCTCTATGGGGTTTAGTCGGTAGTCGGTTTTGCGGGGCAGGATTTCTCAAGGCGTAGGCTCCCGGTAGGAATTGGAAGAAGAGGAGGACTTTGGTTTTCCTCTTCTCCCACTTCTTCTCTGGAGGTGCCGGAGTCCGACATAACCTGTTCTATTACCCCTCTCGACCGGGTATCCGAAAATGGATTCCTCAGCGTGAAAAAAACAATTCGATTCAATCAGAACGCCAAGGTTCACAAATGGAACGGCCGTTGTGTTAGCCATGATGTAAAGGCAATTGAGACTTGGAACTCATGTCTTATTTATCCATGGGCACCATTTCACAGCCGGAACCGCTCAACACCAAACGATACATTACATCTTTTACTTTAAAATAAATTCGTTTTCTAAATAGAATTTCTTTGCAAATCGCTGTTCCCTTTCTGCCAAATTTAAACCAACACGAAGATATAAATGAATTAAATTACTACATTGGTAAGGGTTAGTTGATCACTATGTACTTGTCTACACAAATTAAGGTTTTTTTTCTTATCATTGAGAATTTACTGGTGGCCCAGAAGCCTTTCCAGTTTCACAAGGACAAGTGGGCGAGCAAGAGCTCAGCCAGAAGGGGCGGCATTTGCTAACAGCTACCCGAGCGCCTCCAAGGGAGATCTAACCACTCAAGAGTAGCTGTTTCGCGAATGAATCTACTAGTGGATCGGAATCGCGACCCGCTGAGAAGATCCGGCGAGAAACTCAACAGGCTGATGTTTAGGTTAGGTTGCAAGTTGAACTCTATGCTGAGTTCGACGTCCACTTTTTTTTTTTAAATAAATAAATATTTACTAACAATCACGCCACGTTAACTGGTCCCGTGCTAAGTTCGTAATGAACTTGTGTTACAGGTACCAGACAACGGAAATAAATGAAAGATTTTTATTATACACATACATATTATATTTAATATACATCCATAACCCTGGAAAAAACATTTTTATACTTATCATACAAATATCTTTCCTTGGCGGGATTCGAACCCGCGGCCCCCTTGTGTAGTAACTATGTCACTTACCACTACACTACACGGCCGTTACATTAAAGTTACGAGGCAAATGTATAGAGATGTGAACCGACCGTCGATCTTGGAGAGGAGCTGATTGACGACGGTGTCGTGGACGCCGGTGTTGCCGCCGACGGAGCCCCTGGCCTTGCAGATCGCGTCGATTTCATCGAATATTATGATGTGAAGCCCGCTGTTCGCTCCGCACTGTAAACCGATGGCTTTATTAACGATCGATTGTTATAGTGTATTTTAAATGCAAGAACAGTTGGTAGGCAGCGGCTTGGCTCTGCCCCTGGCATTGCTGAAGTCCATAAGTCCATTGGCGACGGTGACTACTCACATCAGGTGGGCCCTATGCCCGTCTGCCTACAAAGGCATTAAAAAAATTATAAACCCATATTTTCTTCTCTATCATAATTCCTTCAAAAAGCTTTACTATAAAATTGAAAAATCATCTTTTTTTTCCTACCTAAGCTGATAGCCTTGAGAGGCTATTTAAGCGTAACCTTAACTAGTAGGTGCGCTCACGGAGCTCAAACCTGACGATGTTGCTAACACGAACCCTAGCAAGAGCCGTGCTTCGCAGAATCTACCACCGGGTCGGAAACGCGACCCACTGAGATGATCCGGCGAGAAACTCAGTGGACTGTATCTATGGGTTAATTCGCACGTCGAGCCCTTCGTCGCAAGCGACAGGTTCAGCGAGGACGGTGACCGGTGCTTGAGGTACCTAAAAGCACCGCTAATCCGTAATGACGTGTTTTGGGCGACGTCGACTGTTTACCATCGATTACCAGGATCGGGTATGAGAAATCATCACGTCTGCTTAGAACATATTCTAAGTAGTTTAATTTTGCGGAACTCACTCGCTTCTCTTCTTCCTCGGCGTCGGCAAATAAACGTCGAATGTTGGCCTCGCTCTCGCCAACGTATTTGTCTAATATCTGCGGGCCGTTGACAATTTTCGGTTCGCGGGCGTTTAGCATCTTCCCGATCTGTCGGGCCATCAAAGTCTTGCCGGTGCCGGGCGGACCGTAAAGCAAGATTCCCTTCACGTGCTTGCAGCCTAAATAAATTAATTAGGATTAGTTCTTTTTTTTTATTGCTTAGATGAGTGGACGAGCTGGTGTTAAGTGGTTACTGGAGCCCATAAACATCTACAACGTAAATGCGCCACCCACCTTGAGATATAAGTTCTAAGGTCTCAGTATAGTTACAACGGCTGCCCCACCCTTCAAACCGAAACGCATTACTGCTTCACGGCAGAAATAGACAGGGTGGTGGTATCTACCCGTGCGGACTCACAAGAGGTCCTACCACCAGTAATTACGCAATTTATAATTTTGCGGGTTTGATTTTTATTACACGATGTTATTCCTTCACCGTGGAAGTCAATCGTGAGCATTTCGTTAAGTACGTATTTCATTACAAAAATTGGTCCTCGCCTGCGGGATTCGAACACCGTTGCATCGCTAAATACGAATGCACCGGACGTCTTATCCTTTGGGCCACGACAACTTTATAAAATTACATTGTATTTGTGAACGCGTTGTGAATCCTTTAAGATGAAAGGTGAATTCGATATTAAAGGGTGAGACAGAATTATGGTAGGAACAGCTTGGCTCTGCCCCCTGACATTGACGTCCAAGGGGGACGACAACAACTCACCATCAGGTGGGTCATATGCTCGTCTGCCTACAAGGGCAATGAAAAAATAGAAACAGTACCTATTACAATGCAATCTTCTTGAGATACGTAAGAGAGTAAGTACGCCGTGAGAATATAGATAGTCTATATAGATTAGTAAAATTTTCGGCTTTTAAATAATCAATGAAGTGGATCATAAAAATTATACAAACTATATTAATTTAAAACAAATTGGTGGCTTTCAGTAAGTTATCATTATTAGAGCAGAGTATGCTCACAATATGCCTTATCAAAATGTTTCAATATAGATATAGATGTCAATGTATATATTTCAGTTTCAATGTAGATATTTTGTCTAGTATTATATCAACAAATATCAATACAAAAAAAAACTTCTTTGGCTATTTGAATAGGGTAAACATAATTGAAGTTCAGTTAAACACATCGAATTGTTAATGCTAATACCAAACAAAACGCACATTTAATTACAAAGATAAATATCGCGTGTCAAGCGAAATGTCGCTTAAACCAAATAGCGTTACACCCCTCGACATATATACATATATTATGTACATGTTTACGGTAAAAAAAAAAAAAAAAAATTATCATCCGCATCTTAGAGCCAGCTCCCAACAAAAATAGCATATTATGCTAAAGCGTAGTCCATGTATGAGTCACCGATCACCGTTCCCGTCGAACCGGTCGCTTGCGACGAAGGACCCGACGAGTAAACTAACCCACAGACACAGCCCACTTAGTTTCTCACCGGATCTTCTCAGTAAGTCGCGTTTCCGATCCGGTAGTTAGATTCTGCGAAGCACTGCTCTTGCTAGGGCTAGTGTTGGCAATGACATAAAGTTTGAGTCCCGTGAGCTCACCTACTTGTTAGGTTACGCTTACATAGCCTCTAAAGCAGCGGTCGGGGAACTTTTTTTATTATTACCCCAAAATATTTTTGTGTAAGTTGATATTGCCCCATGGCGAAGAACAAAAAAAAACGAAATCGCTTCTTTTTAGCATTTTTTATATTATAGCCCCTATGATAATTTTGAAAAAAAAATATTTATTTTTTCGTTTTGTTTCATTTCGTTTCATCGAGTTTGAAATCACAACGATTCTAAGGAAGTTTCACTTCAATATATACTTTTTACTCACAAAAGTTTAATTTTTACTCCGGTTTCCCGACTGCTGCTCTAAAGGCTATCGGCTTAATTAGGAACGTTAAAAAAATTGTATGAGAAAAGGTCGAGGGCAGGTCGCGTCGTTACCTAGTTGCTCGACGACCTCCGGAGGGAACACTCGGGAAGCGAATGCGCGACGGAAGATCGCGTTGAACTCGTTGTCGAGACCGCCGATGCCCATCTTGCCGAAGTCCCAGTCCGGATTGATGATCGACTGTCGCGGTTGCTTTCTGTTTCACAAAAATATATCATTGTTGTATTTGTTTTTCGTTTATACTGTACTGTTTCGTACTGAAACAGTTTTTTTCTTTTTTTTGTATATTTTATTAGTATCGAGTATTAGGTAATATATTACATCTTCAAGACAACACGAGTCTTAACCTAGGCGCAGTAAGGTTCGATCTCGCCTGTAGACGGCCGACTAGCCAACCAGAAGCTTGCTAAGCAATCCCTCCAAGCCTACGGGCAGAGATCGCCATCGCATAGAATACATAACACACGCGTTCCGCGGCATTCATTAATTATAACAAAAACAAAAATTATCCAACGCAAGTCACGCGTAAACATAGAACCAGCGACAATATATTCATCATGTACCAGTCAAGGGACAGACGGTCCCACCTCCGGAAACGACGCTGAGCCCAGGGAGCGCGAGGCAGTAGAAGGAAGGTGAATCGGTAAGTCTTCAGGCACTTATTTCGTTCCGTACTGTACATATACTTTATTTACGTCAAAAAAAAATTAGTATTCTTCTTCTTCTTTTTTTTCCACCTTATCCCACTAGGCGGGATCGGCACACCTGATTTTTCTCTTCCATTCTCTTCTATCAGCCGTCATCTCAACACTCACTCCTCTTTCTCTCATATCGTCATTCACACACTCCAGGAAAACTCGAATAGCCCCTTAGGAAACTCGAATAGCCCCTTACGAAACTCGAATAGCCCCTTAGGAAACTCGTATAGCCCCTTAGGAAACTCGAATAGCCCCTTAGCTGCCAGCGAGGTATCAAAGGTAGGGAAAAAACACCAACAAAATAAAAGGCGTTGCTAACCGGATAACCTGGTTCCAAGCCACGATGATTTTATTTTGTCCACTTGTTTCTTTGAATTTTTGTAATTTTATTCCGAGATGCAAAAACATGTATATGGCCTAAATTTTTTTTAACTATTAAATGTTGGCGAACTTACTGTATCAACTAGTGTGGTAGACATCAGGAAACTTAATGCCGCTACCCACCTTGAGACAGTTTTAAGTCTCCATTTCATCAATAGCGACAATTATTATAAAGGTCCCTTATTCCCGATGATCCATACTCACCCTTTAGCCTTCCCGATTAGGTTCAGAGACGAATTCTCCGCCTTGTCGAACTGCACCGAGGCGTCGGGCAGCAGCCGGCCCATCCGCACCCGGCGGGGCACGGCATTGGCTCCGGCCGCTAAAGCTTGCACATCGACGGCTGCACACACAACATCATACATCCAATTATAAACCGTATATTCAATGAGAATTGGGGAATGTGGCAATTTGGGGAATTGTTTTTTAGGCATTTTATGACCTGGTAACTAAGACCTTTAAGGTCAAGTCTTATTTAAATTTTAATGAAAACTTTTTTTATATGAAAAATGATATTATGAAATGAAATGAAGTTGATTAATGTGAAACAGGGCATGAAATGAAATGAGATGATATGGGATGAAAGATAATCTCAGTAAAATGGTGGGTTTATTTACTGAGACTTTTTCAGTGGACGTTTTTGGAGGATCCCGAAAAGTTACGTTCAGCGGCTTTGTTTCATTTTTCCACATTTGTGTACTTTCACAGATACTAAACTGGTACTTTACTGGTGGTATGACCTCTTGTAAGTCCGCGCGGATAGGTACCACCGCCTAGCCTATTTCTGCCGTGAAGCAGTAATGCGTTTCGGTTTGAAGGGTAGGGCAGCCGTTGTAACTATACTGAGATCTTAGAACTTATATCTCAAGGTGGGTGGCGCATTTACGTTGTAGATGTCCATGGGCTCCAGTAACCACTTAACACCAGGTGGGCTGTGAGCTTCATGTCTCAAGGTGGGTTATTTCATTCACGTAGTTGAAGTCCACGTGCCCCGATAACAACTTACCACCGAGGCGTGAGCTCGTCTATATTCCAATAACAAACATAAAAAAACTCACCTTCCAAATTTTTTACGATCAACGACAAGACTTTCTTCTCTTGGAACAAGAAAGCCAGCTGTTGTCCGACAGTAAAAACTTGATTGGCGAACTGAATAAGGAAATCTCTGGCCATCTGTTCCGAATCATATGGATCCGTTGATGTTCTGGGAGAGGAAATACATTCCAACAATAATTTAAAACAATTTTTCCTAGTTATTATAGTTAACGAAAATTACTTTTTAAATTAGAAAAATACAATAGATTTTTATTGATCAGTTATCTTCGAAGGCCGTTTTGTATCATATGCGTGTGATTATCAAATCTTGTGTAAGCTTAATCGCGTCTAAAACTCGCGGATAGCTATGCCAAAATAATGAACGTTTTTTTTCTATCGGTAACTTTACGTATGAAATATTTATGCAAGTGGCAAAATTCTTTAGTTGAATTAAATGCACTTCACTCTTCCTTCCTTTGAATCCCCAAATCTCAAGATCGTCAGTCCTATGTCAAAGGCACAAAAGACATTCCATTGAGACAGTACAGATTTATAGATATTATTAAACTAAGCATTTCATTTTTCTTTGCTAACAAGATCTTTGTATGTTCGTTCTAAGATGCCAATTCCATACTTTATTTGCCATTATAATGATATTGGGTTGCATTAATTACTATGCTCATTTAATCACACAGTTGAAAATAAATTGCTCCACCCAATCTATTAAAAACAAGGAAATTTTAAAAATTATTTTCAAATGATGACTGAAAAGTTACGTAACATCAATAAGTACTAATTAGATTTAATTCACACATACGTTTTCTTCATCATGAAGTCGGCTTCCAAGGTTACGCTGCAGAGGCATTCAGCACTAGAGGGTTTGAAAGGCTTCACGTCAATGGTCTGCATAGTAAAAAAAATTATACATGATTTATGCATAGTTTTTTGTTCTTATCAAATTTCTTTATTTTCAGCCACGGACTTCCACCGCTGAACATTTGCCTCCCCTATTATATTATTATCTAATCGCGCTATTTAATTATACGTATACAAGTCTAGCGTGTATTTACATTTCGACTAATTAAAACGTTTTGTATGAAAAAATCAGATTTGTTTTTAAAAATATTATATTATGATAGGTGAGAAAAAAAAAACTATTATTTAAAACTAGTTTTATTTATTTTAAGAAGTGTATGCTTTACATTCATGATCACGGATGGCAATCTGTCGACATTTAAACGTTGCGTTTATTTGACTTGCGATTTCATCTTCACGTTGAAAATATCCCAGCTGTTAGTTAAGTACAAACCATTTTTTGCAGTGATCTACTTAGCAGAGACATGTATGTATAAAAAAAACATATTTTATTATAAATAATAAATCTACTATTTTATATCATACGTGTTCAGGAAATTGGTGTAGAACTCGCTTCTCAATATTCTTATCATAGTTCATCCATACTATCTGTAATTACTACATTCATCTAATTCTAGTGTGTTAACAAAGATCGTTTCCCCCCCGACTATCGGGCTTTAGAATGAATTCCTCATCAAGGTAATTCTCGGAAGTTTTAGCATCTCTTTCTTCATGATAGATTTAATGCAATTCTTCTGTTGTAGTCAGTTACTTAAATATGCCCCCCAAATTACTGATGTCAACGAGCAACAGTATCTACATCCCATCACATGGCCGATGGGATGACCATGCACCTACAATAACAAGTAAATATGTACTAAAAAAAGTATTGATAGTGCATGTAAACTCACTTGACCGATAGAGAGGGTAGCCCATTTTCGCTGAGGGGCAGAAAATCCAACCGTGCCACGATCAACTCCATTGTAAAACCGAATGCTGAACACAAAGTGTTGAGATGGTCCTGTAGATACTTCAATATGCCTGGTAAATGAAAGAAAAAGCTAAATACTATCTGTATTTGATACTGAAAAATGTTTATTTACAAAAAAAGAATCCTTTACAGAAAGAAAACTTTAGATATTCCGTAGCCATCAGAATAGAAAAGCTCTAGTTAGTACAATTTTTTCTTATGAAATACTTAACTACTGCATGTCGTAAATCTTAAGAGATTCTCTGCAAACTTCCAATTGGCAAAGTATTGGGATTCCTATTTAATTTTGAAGTCATTTGAAATGAGAAGCTATATGGCTATTAAATTTATAGAAAGGCCTGACCGAGGTACTTAAGACCTGGACAAACACTTGTGCTTTACAAAACACTGGTCTGACCTTGCAAGGAGGCCTATTCTATACAGAAGAGGACTGACGGGTCAGCCACCCTTCGGTTCATTTCTGCCAAAATGTAGTCACATAAATCTGTTTGAAGGGAGTGACAGCCGTTACACAAGATAATTAAGATTTTGACCTCATATCTCAGGGGGGATTGTAAAATTCACAGTGTAAGCTTATAAACTAACAAGAAAACAGCAGATGGTTCTAGAGTTTGTTTATCCAATTATACAAGTGACCCTCCTATAACATAGTAGATACATTCCTACAAAGTCCCATGTTGTGCGATACTGTATTATATGAGACTAGAAGTAATTGTTCTGAACGAAACATTTTAACTATGCCTGTATATACTTTTTTACCTGTTATACATAAAAACTGATTCTGATAAATATATTAAAATTACATAATAATGATAGATATTTAATAATGTTCTACAAGTTATGTAGCCTTGCCCACTGTCACATCGACTTTGCAATCCTGCAGGCTATGTTCAGGAGTCTTCAGGAGTAAGTCATAGATATAAATAGGACTGATTATTGAAAATTGTATTACACTAATTTTTAAAAACAACTTTTAGCAGAAGCATGTGAGCCTCCAGAAATTGTATGTTTTTTTTTTTATTGCCCTTGTAGGCAGACGAGCATACGGCCCATCTGATGGTGAGTGGTTACCGTCGCCCATGGACTTCAGCAATGCCAGGGACAGAGCCAAGCTGCTGCCTACCTACGCTGTTTCTGTAGCTCCTGTACAATGGCACTGTTAGGGGCAGATCTAAATTATAACAAATGATCGAAAAAAAAGATCAAACCTCATTTAAAGAAAGAACTACTTATCATATGTATCTTTCTATACTTATATTCTATTATACTAACTTGATGTCACTTGGAAAGTCATCTTGATGTATTAGAGCACAGTTGGTGATGGCAAGCTCATCAGATGGACATTTGGCTGCTTTCATTCGCTGCAGCAAAATTATACTATTTTAAACTCCCACAATATATGCCTAATAATAATACATAATATTTATTGTACGACTTCAACTAAAACAGATTTTTTTACTTTGCAATTTTTACAAGTTACGATTTTATTTATTGTAAACAATTTAACCTTTATTAGTTATTCATAGACTTATTAAATACGATAGGATTCAAGGAAATTCATTTTAAAATTAAAAGGACCAATATCATTGGTTAAGAAAATAAATAAAATAAAAACTACTAATTTTTAAGAGACTGTACTGTGAATTAGAATTGAATTTTCAGTGGCCTTACAGAGTGTATCATGGTATTAATAATTATTTCTAAATTAACTACATACATACCATTGAAGACATTTTTGCAACTTTCTTCTTTGATTAAAAACACTGCTCTAAATTTTGACAAATGATTCACGAAAAGTAGACTGATTTGACATCACAGTACATAATCTTACCGTCACTCTCGCAACAAATGACCGCACTGCATTGAATTAACTTCACTATCCATTGGACAAAGCGATCAATAAACAGTCAGTATTAGAGACGCCAATATGAGTCCTATTAATCCAAGAGTCGATTTTGTACAATCGATCGTCAATCGATATATAAATCACAGAATTGATGTCAAACCATGGAGTTAATAAGTACCTACAAGTCAAACAGTCGAAAATTGAATATATTTTTCCCTATTTCGGATTCAATTCGACTCATTCAGGACTCAATTCGTGTTAAATCATTAGAATTTCATTTTTAACCAATAAAAACCGAATTGATGACACAATGTATGCTGGTTCTCTTTTTTAATTGTGTTAACATTTAATTGTGTCATTTGTGTGATTCATTGATTTTTGTGTAAGCTGAACAATGCACAATATGTTTTCCCGGTAAATATAATCTACAATATTAAACAGTTATGAAATTTTATCAGAGACTAGCTTTTGCCCGCGACTTCGTAAGTGCGGAATAGTTATGAGGGAGTTCATATAGTCCCTTCTTTATTTCGCCGTAGTCGTGTTTTATGTAATTAACACCACAGTTGAATCAATATAAATTTAATTGTTGTAGCGGCATAAAGTAATTACATTAAATTAGTTATTATCACATTATAAATTATTTTTATGTTTTTCATATTTGGCGGTAAAAAGGTATTGTGTCACAGACTATCTTCTTTTTCCCACATCTCGTGCGTTCCGGCTTACGCATAATAAAACGCCACACCACCCCCCTACGGAGAAGGAGAATCCGCAGAAAAAGAGAAAAAATATCATAGGTCGAAAGGTTTGGAGAAGTGGACTCTGCGACCTGATCGGGTGGTATATTGAGGTGTATGCGTAGGAGTAGCAGTTAGAGGTGCCGAAGGCACGAGTGGACATGAAGGGACATCAGTAGCGTCCGGTTGCGCGGGTTGAGGCACAGAAACCCGTGGTGCTGGTGCCGGAACGAGATCTACTAAAGAATGCTCGACGAAAGCTGGCTTAATTCTGTCGACACTGACCGTCACCTGTTTCCCTTTTACATCAATCGACCACGTTTTTCCGTCCTCGGCTCTAGATATAACTCTATGAGGACCAGAGTAAGGTGGTTGCATTGAACGTCTAACCGAATCCTCTCTGAGCATGACATGAGAGGCGGTGGAAAGATTTTTAAATATGAAAGGTGATGGCTTAGTGTGTGAGGAACATGGAGTGGGACGCAATTTAGACATACGCTGTCTTAACTTTACGACAAAATCCGTCGGGTCCTCGAAGCCAGAAGGACCGGGAGGTATTAACAGTTCCCCTGGAAGCGTTAATGTTTCTCCGTAAAGCAATTCCGCTACTGTTGCTTGTAGATCTTCTTTAAAAGCCGAACGCATTCCTAATAAGACCAAAGGTAATGCATTCAACCACGAATCATCATAACACATCAGAGAGGCCTTTAATTGTCTATGCATGCGCTCCACGAGCCCATTGGCACAAGGGTGGTAACTAGTANTGAAATTATGTACTTGTCAAATGTCAGTAGTAGTAGTTGTTGTATTTTTCCAATGGCAGTCTGGCTCATAGTGCGAAGGAGAAGGCTGACCTTCTGGTCAAGCTCTTTGCCTCATACTCGACTTTGGATGACGGAGGAGCCACGCCGTCCAACATCTCCCGGTGTGACAGCTCCTTGCCTGAGATTCGCATCACACAGCGTGCGGTCAGACAGGAGCTTCGGCTTCTTGACGTCCATAAGTCGAGTGGGCCGGATTGCATCTCAGCAGTGGTTCTAACATGCGCCCCTGAATTGACACCCGCGCTAACGCGTCTATATCGCCTTTCGTACAATACCAACAGGGTTCCGTCTTCATGGAAGACTGCTTATGTCCACCCTATCCCCAAAAAGGGTGACCGGTTGGACCCCTCGAATTACAGACCTATCGCGATAACTTCCTTGCTTTCCAAGGTGATGGAGCGAATCATAAACATCCAACTTCTTAAGTATCTTGAGGATCGCCAGCTGATCAGTGACCGGCAGTACGGTTTCCGTCATGGTCGCTCAGCTGGCGATCTTCTTGTATACCTCACACATAAATGGACCTTGGAAAGCAAGGGCGAGGCTCTCGCTGTGAGCCTTGACATCGCGAAGGCCTTCGACAGGGTCTGGCATAGGGCACTTCTATCGAAGCTTCCAGCTTACGGGATCCCTGAGAGACTCTGCAAGTGGATCGCTAGCTTTTTGGATGGACGGAGCATCACAGTTGTCGTCGACGGCTGCTGCTCCGATACCATGACCATCAACGCTGGTGTTCCACAAGTTTCGGTGCTCTCCCCCACGCTTTTCATACTGCATATCAATGACATGCTATCTATTGATAGCATGCATTGCTATGCGGATGATAGCACGGGGGATGCGCGATATATCGGCCATCAGAGTCTCTCTCGAAGCGTTGTACACGAGAGGCGATTAAAACTTGTGTCTGAAGTGGAGAACTCTCTGGGGCGGGTCTCCAAGTGGGGTGAACTGAATTCAGTTCAGTTCAACCCATTGAAGACACAAGTTTGCGCGTTCACTGCGAAGAAGGACCCTTTTGTCATGGCGCCGGAATTTCAAGGAGTATCCTTGCAGCTTTCCGCGAGTATCGGGATTCTGGGGGTCGATATTTCGAGCGATGTCCAGTTTCGGAGTCATTTGGAAGGTAAAGCCAAATTGGCCTCTAAAATGTTGGGAGTCCTCAACAGAGCGAAGCGGTATTTCACGCCTGGAGAGAGACTTGCGCTTTATAAAGCGCAGGTCCGACCTCGCGTGGAGTACTGCTCTCACCTCTGGGCCGGGGCTCCCAAATACCAGCTATTTCCATTTGACTCCATACAGAAACGGGCTGTTCGGATGGTCGATAGTCCTGCTCTCGCGGATCGCTTGGAACCTCTGGGTCTACGGAGGGACTTCGGTTCTCTCTGTGTTTTATACCGCATGGTCCATGGGGAATGCTCTTAGGAATTATTCGAGATGATCCCCTCATCTCCTTTTTATCATCGCACCTCCCGTCATCGGAGCAGGGTTCATCCATATTATCTGGAACCGCTGCGTTCATCGACAGTGTGTTTCCAAAGATCTTTTTTGCCACGTACCATCCGGCTTTGGAATGAACTCCCCTCCGCGGTGTTTTCCGAGCGCTATGACATGTCCTTCTTCAAACGAGGCTTGCGGAGAGTACTTTATGGTAGGCAGCGGCTTGGCTCTGCCCCTGGCATTACTGACGTCCATGAGCGACGGTGACCACTTACCATCAGGTGGGCCGTATGCTCGTATGCCTACAAAGGCAATAAAATAAAATAAAACTGGAAAGGCAAATGTATCATACCATACAGCCTAATATTTTATTTTTATTTTTTGAAAATTTTTAATAGGAATTGAAATGAAATTAAAAGAATTTGGAAAATTAATCAAATAGCATGAAATTAAATTAGTCAATTCAATTGGCAAAATATTAGTCATTTACAATTTAGAAATCTAAACATAATGTGACTGTCAACGCTGAGGTTTGAGATTGAAATTTGACAGACTTTTGGCGGGAACATATCCTCCTTTTTTCCTTCCTCTAATGCCGGCCCCTCACATGCGCGCAAATATTCGTACATTGTACGAATGTTTGCGCGCATGTGAAGGGCCGTCAAACATTCATTCGCAAGCTTAGCGGTTGTGCAAATGGGTTCGGTACTCAATTTGCGAACCCGTTTGCGCTTCCTCCTACACTTGTTTACGAATGTCTCACGAATTTCTCCTCCTTTTTAATTCGTTAATAGAACATTAAAGAGAAAAAGAGTTTTGAATTCTTTCCCAGACATCATTAACAGCCATGCTGTTTTTATGGGATTTCTTTTGATGAAGATACGCTACACAGTATCCGTCACGATCTATGAAAATAGCGAAACGTCCGTTGCCTTCGCAATCCTGGGCGCAACTGGTCACACGAATGTGTGGGAGACTACACGAAGGATCGCGGTTCGCGCGCTTTGATTTCTGTTAAAAAACCGACACAACTTGGAAAACCACGAAAACGCAGCGAAAACTTTGCATAATCATTTGCAAATGTCGTCCTACACTTGCGGGTTTGCGTATTCTTGCGAATGTGAGTGACCGGTATTAGTTTCGGAAATCTAAAGTTTTGGATTTGTATAAATATAAGCAAGACTTATAAATTAGTTCGCCAAAAAAGTTTCACTTCTGACTTATGTACTTTGTACGCACGCACTTTTTTCTTTCTACTGCATTCCATAAACTAAGAGCAATGTCAGAAATCAAAGGTGGTGAAAGACATGCGATCATTATTTATACAAAATTCAACTTAAACACATCAAAATTAAGTGTCATATTTTAAATAATAAGTCTGCCGCTTAAGTCTTTTAGTCATGGACTCCTATTCAAAAATCAATGATTTCAGCTGATCATAGACAAAGAGGCGTAGAGTTGGGGTCAGCTGACTTCATTTTAATCATTGGTCTTGTGATAAGTTGTGATACTCCGCCATTCTCGGTTCGTCTTTTCCATCTTTCTCGTCTAGTGAGTTTGATTTTATTAATTCTAATAAGAAATCATTAAGATCAGTTTTGTTTTGCTGGTGTATGTGTTATTGATTGTGGTGCTAAGTCTTGGTAAGATTGTTCTTGTTTCTGCCATTGCCAAAAATCTTTGGTTGCCATGTAATATGTCATTAAATCTTAGGTTCTTCGGTGTATTTTCCTTTATCTTGACGGTTTTTATTCAGTTACGTATAAATTGAAATATCTTAGTATGGGCTCTGGTTATTTTTTAAGAATGAATCGATAGATTTCGAACCAATGGTATCATGTGACTGTAAGCTCAAGTTTTCTTTCTAGCCGCATTAATACTCTGTTCACGATTCTTAAAGGTTTTTTAAATGTACCAGTACTTGATTTTTTAAATAAGGTATCTCATATTTCAGTTTTTCTATTTGGTATAGTTAATTAGGTCAATTGCTGAAAAACAGACTATTTTCAGTGGAAATGTTCATTAGATTTTTTATTTGATTTGTAAGTGCTGAAGAACTTTGCTAAAATCATACATTAAATTTTCATCTTGATACCTTGGTATAGATACCATCTTGGTATAGATTTTAAACTGTGTCAAAGAAATTACAGGCATAGTAGATTATTTCTTTGGTTGTCTAAGTTATGACATGATAATTAATTGTACTATTGTACATACCTCACTGACTGGCATATTTGTCTTGAAAACTACCCAACAATATATATCTTCCTTTGGTAAATTATAAGTTATACTATGTTATAATCTTTGTATTCATTAAAATTTGATAATGTTGTCCCTTAAACTCTACTCTTTATCGTAGATGAAAAGTGTCTTTTTTATATGTATAATTTTCACAATGATGTATTGAATAGTGTAATTGCTTGAGAATAAATACAACCTTCAGTTTGTCAAAATAATCCTAATAAATTTAATAGAGTACATTATATGATAAATGAACAAATTTAGTGTAATTTATTTCATTATGTAATGAATAGTACTCACAAATTGTTTAAAAAATTATATGTATAAGTATTAGTTTGATTTTTTTTTGTTAATATAAAACAGTTACAATAAAGGGGATAAGGAATGACTTTTGTGTAATTGTGTACAATTTTTTATAAGATATAACAAGATTCATATTGTTAAACTGTATGGACAAGAAGATTATAGCAGAGACAGCTTCTAATTTTTAAAGAAACTACTGGTCTACCTTGTTATTTAAGTGTTACTGTAGCCTGTAGCAACTATAATGTAACGTTACTTTTTATATTAAGGACAAAAACCTTGTCCAATTTGGAATGTATGAATACATGTTAGTAAAAGTAGGCACTAACATCAGTACTGGAGAATACATAATATTCTTCTATATAGTAATATTGTATGTGCTCATATTTGAGACAGAAATTAAAGGTGTAAGTAGTTAATGCTTAGATTGATCTGAAGGAAGGTAAAACCTGGAATCCTTCATGCAGTTTTTATTTGTTATTAAATAAATGCATGCATCTGTCATTTTGAGGATCTAGAATGTTTTGACTTCATTTCAGCCATACCTAGTTTCTTAAGTATGTGTGTAAGTATATGTGTGCTTACAGAGTTTTGGCTTTTCTGCCTTCTATACACGATTCTTTGGTGGCCATAATAAAAGCTTTAAAATACAGAGCAATGAAGAATCGTAAATCATACTAAAATCATAGATATTCTGTGGCATTTGACATTGATTGATGGTAATCTTATCAGATTCCCAGTTGATACTAAGGCAGATCACCTGATCATTTAGCCTCAGTTTTGTGTTAGTTATAGTGCTCGTAAAACAGCTCGAGGTAGGTATGTTATGTAATCAGTCAGTAATGAAAAAACATTTTTCTTAGATTTATAACGTTGTGCATAAATATAATTTTATTCAGATTGCTAAGGGAGTGTTGTATCTTGTCATATCTTTTTGTTTGTGAAGTTTTTGTTCCAAATATGTTCCCTATTTAGAAGGGAGTAAGGTTGATTTTAGGCATCTATTTTGTCAAATGACTTTTTTGTGTGTCTAATACGGTTTTGGCATTCCATAAAACAGGCAGAATCAAGAACAACTACTTGACCTTTAACAACTTTTGAAAATAGATTGGATCTTTATTGATCTATCTGGGTCGCCAGAATGTATAATCATCATTATGTGAATTCTTTAACTGGAATGCTTGATGGCAATTTTATCTGGATCGGATATAATATTTTTATATTTTTCTACAGGGATAAAGAATAACTAGTTCAAAATGGCGAGCAAAGGCGGCTTGAGGACGATCGCCAATGAGGAGAATGAGGAGAGGTTCGGATATGTCTTCGCCGTATCTGGACCCGGTGTGTAATTTATTTTAATTCATTTACAAGAATCATTGAAAAGAATACTAATGTAGACTCCTATTCTATTAAACCTGCTGTATTGTAGTCATGGTCCTCACTCTACTAGAACAATCACATAGCAGGCACAAAAAGTGCTGAGAGACTAATTGCCCATACTATGTTAAAGAAATAAATAATTGTCCAACTGGACAAAACGTATTTGTAACTTACAGCATATATTTACCATTCATTTTGGATGTATCCGACAAATACTCAAACTATTAGGTTTGCTCAAAGTATTCTTGTATGTATTCTGTATGATTATATATATATCATTATATGACATTATTATTTAAATAAAATAATAATAATTTTTTTATTGAATTCTATTTGCTCATCCAACAAATACTGTAGCATGATTTTTTTATTTAATATTATACAAGTTATTTTATAATTCTGTACAGTCGTCACTGCCGAAAAGATGTCCGGATCTGCTATGTACGAGTTGGTCCGTGTCGGTTACAATGAACTCGTCGGTGAGATTATCCGTCTTGAAGGTGACATGGCCACCATCCAGGTAAATGATCATATCTATAATATGCTAGTTAGAAATCGTGTCTTGCACTTTGTGTTGTCAAACGTATGTAAGTTATTGATACGTTGGGATATACACCTAAAGGTATACCAATGTATAAAATATATGGGTATAGCTTTAAACAACAAAAAATGTATCTATTCAATTATAAGTAGGAGTGGTAGGAACTGTAGGAAGTGTTGTAAGCTCATACTGTTAGATGGCATGTTAAAAAAATTAAACTAAGAGTTTCAATCGGCTCATATTTCGAAGACTTTGACCACATGGCTCGAGGCATGTAGTGGCATTAACATTGTGACGTCACAACCACAAAGTAATAATTTCAGATACATTGTTAAATTAAATTTTAGCCCCAAACTAAACCTTAGTTATCCTGTACTATAAAATCCATAGACTAATGTTCATATTTTATATGTTTAAATGTGAACGTACTATGTAGATATTAAACACTCCGATCGATCAAACAAACCTCTTCATCACAAGAGTTTTACTCAAAGCGGGAGTTCAACTCACGACCCTCAACCCAGTTGTTAACGACGTTAATTGCTAAGCCTAACTACTAAGGTTAGTTAAATAAATAATTTTTACAGGTATACGAAGAAACTTCAGGTGTAACTGTAGGTGATCCAGTACTCCGTACTGGAAAGCCTTTGTCAGTAGAACTTGGTCCCGGTATCTTGGGTTCCATCTTTGACGGTATTCAGCGTCCCCTCAAGGACATCAACGAGCTGACTCAGTCCATCTACATCCCCAAGGGTATCAACGTGCCTTCCCTGGCCAGGGAGGTCGACTGGGAATTTAACCCATTAAATGTTAAGGTAAATTGAAATGCTAAATATATTAGTATATTTATTTTCAATATTCTTGAGTTCACTAGTCTTGATTTACCACCTAAAGATTTAGATTTATTTTATTGTATAACATTTTCCTATTTTCCCAATTTTTTAATTGTTATTTTGAAAGAAAAAATTTAAACTGATTCCAATAAATTTTTGGATAACATAATTTTTGGATAACGTAATAACTAGTCAATAATTTTGGTAGCATCCGAACAAAGATAAAGAAAATTAATAGACAAAGTATACAAATTTAGAGAATGTTATTGAGAAACAACAAAATGATATGATTTCCTACTTATAAATAGTATTTGACTGTAAAATTTGATGTTAAATCTATTCATTCACAGGTCGGGTCCCACATCACCGGTGGAGATTTGTATGGTATTGTACATGAGAACACTCTGGTCAAGCACAGGATGTTGGTCCCGCCCAAAGCCAAGGGAACAGTTACCTATATCGCACCGGCCGGGAACTACAAAGTCACAGTGAGTCTATGGAAGTCTCTTATGAAATACATGAAACTAGTTGTTGAATGCGATTTGTACTTTATTGTTCGAAGAAACTATACAATGACATGGTATAGTTGAATTATTTTTTTATTTTTGTATGCATCTAATGTTTTAATTTTGTATGTGTCTGATTTTAAAATATAGCCATAATTTGGAAACAGTTTTGCTGCAATTATACTAACTACTGGTCCCCCTGTAGTCGAAATTAGACTATAATTAATTAAAATTATAAGTTTGAACATTCTTATACTTCTTATAATCACCGATTTTGCCAAGACAATATTAATCAATAGACAAACAATATTAATCTATTCTCAATTTGATCAGACTAAATAATAACAAAAGTTTAATAATTGACAATAAACAAAGAGTATATTTATATGTGTTATATCAAATACATGGTAGTGTGTGTTTTGGAAATGTATTTTTTATCCATAATTAAAAAAAAAATTGAATTCTGCACTCCTCTATATTCTCTATAATATATACAGAAGATACTTACGTTAATACTGAAGTGAAACCGTTGAGTTAATTTAGATATGTTTTTTTTTTGTTTTTCTTAGATGGGTGGACGAGCTCATAGCCCCCCTAGTAGTTAAGTTGTTACTGGAGCCCATAGACAAGTACAATGTAAATGATGCCACCCACCTTGAGATATAAGTTCTACAGTTCTAGTTACAGTTATAGTTGCATATATACAAGTACTGAACAACAACATTACACCTGCTCGGTGGAAGATCTTCCCGTTCGTCGTTTACTTGTATAGATTCATTATCAGTATCTTCGGATAGCATATGAGATGTGTATCGGAGTGGTGCTCTGCTTGCAGGACGTGGTGCTGGAGACGGAGTTCGACGGTGAGCGGCAGAAGTACAGCATGTTGCAGGTGTGGCCCGTGCGCCAGCCGCGCCCCGTCACCGAGAAGCTGCCCGCCAACCACCCGCTGCTCACCGGGCAGCGCGTGCTCGACTCGCTCTTCCCGTAAGTGAACCTTAGATGGGTGGACGAGCTCACAGCCCACCTGGTGTTAAGTGGTTACTGGAGCCCATAGACATCCACGACGCAAATGCGCCACCAACCTTGAGATATAAGTTCTAAGATCTCAAGTATAGTTACAACGGCTGCCCCACCCTTCAAACCGAAACGCATTACCGCTTCACGGCAGAAATAGGCAGGGTGGTGGTACCTACCCGCGCAGACTCGCAAGAGGTCCTACCACCAGTAATTACGCAAATTATAATTTTGCGGGTTTGATATTTATTGCATATTGATTTATATTCTCTTGCGAAAATAAGAAAATAGACAGCGTCTCATGAACCACTCGACCGTGGTGAGAGAGAAAGGACAAAGCGAGCTAGGTCGTTTCTTTTATACCTAGATTAGTACTAGAGAAATTTGATTTAAGGATGAAAAAAGAAGAAAACCACCGCAAAAGAAGCTTTACTTCTTACACGTCAACCACAATACTACATACCGCAAAAGAAGTTTCACTTCTTTACGCCATTTTTTTTTGTTGAATTTATACTTCTTTAGGCGCGTTATGAAAAATTGATGAGAGTAAAATTTTACAATGCGCGCGCACTGTGACACAAAATTAACAGAATGAAGTTGCCCACTAAATCGCTCATTACAATACACCGACGTAACTTAGCGAGTCTGAATATAGCCGCAGGTGAACCGTACCGAGAATTACCGAATTTATACGATGTCAAGAAAAGGGATGTCCAATATGTCTTTGAGGATGTTGTTTAATCGATTTTTTTTCAAATTGATTAAAATTTAAATAAAAAAAAAGAAATAAAATTCATAAAAATAAAGTATAACTTCTTACGCGCGTACATAAGTACACGCACCCTTTTTTTTGTTAATTTAGTTTATTTCAATCTTTTCAATGCTCTTTGTTTCCAGTTGCGTGCAGGGAGGTACCACAGCCATCCCCGGGGCTTTTGGTTGCGGCAAAACTGTCATCTCCCAAGCCCTGTCCAAGTACTCCAACTCTGACGTCATCATCTACGTCGGCTGCGGCGAGCGCGGTGAGTGGCGGCCCCACAACAGACCAACTTCACTGTGGACGCAGATAATTTAAATGAGACATAAATCAGTCATCTATCATCAGTTGTCATCGTGGCCTAAAGGATAAGACGTCTGGTGCATTCCTATGTAGCGATACACCGATGTTCGAATCCCGCAGGCGGGTACCAATTTTTGTAATGAAATACGTACTCAACAAATGTTCACGATTTATTTCCACGGTGAAGGAATAACATCGTGTAATAAAAATGAAATCCGCAAAATTATAATTTGTGTAATTACTGGTGGCAGGACCTTTTGTGAGTCCGCACGGGTAGGTAACAACACCCCGCCTATTTCTGCCGTGAAGCAGTAATGCGTTTCGGTTTGAAGGGTAGGGGCAGCCGTTGTAACCATACTGAGACCTTACAACTTATATCTCAAGGTGAGTGGCGCATTTACGTTATAGATGTCTATAGGCCCCGGTAACCTCTTAACATTAGGTGGACTGTGAGCTCGTCCACCCATCAATGCAATAAAAAAAAAGAATTTCACTATGGACGCAGAAAAAGTTACTTATCCGACCTAGGGGTTCGGGCAAAAGATTTTCTCAGTGCGTCGCTATTTCGATCCGGTGGTAAAGTCTTACTAGGGCTAGTGTTAGCAAATTCTCTCAAGTTGCGTCGGGAGCTTACTTACTTGTCCGCGTGTAGCTAGAATAGCCCCTTAGGCTACCAATGAACAGGTAGAGAAAAAACAGAAAAGGAAGACTTACTACTCTACACTTACTACTTTTCGCTACTTTTACTTATCTAGCATTTTTTTGCTGACATGGGTGGACAAGCTCAAAGCCCACCTGGTGTTAAGTGATTACCGGAGTTCATAGACATCTACAACGTAAATGCGCCACCCACCTTTGAGACACGAGTTGTAAGGTATCACTTTAAACAGTACAACGGCTGCCCCACCTTTCAAACCGAAACGCATTACTGCTTCACGGCAGAAATAGGCGGGGTCGTGGTACCTACCCGTGCGGACTCAGAAGACGTCCTACCACCAGCTAAGTCATCATTAGCCAGTTAATCATTTTGGCACACTAAATGTGCCCGATTGTACCGCCATTTGTACTTTTTTTTGTATTTAATGTTTTGGTTTTTTTTTTGTCGGTGTATAATAAAGAATACTCTTTCTCTCTCTCTCTCTCTCTCTCTCTCTCTCTCTCTATTTCTTTCTAAACGTGCGTCTGTATGGATCAGGTAACGAGATGTCCGAGGTGCTCCGCGACTTCCCGGAGCTGACGGTGGAGATCGAGGGCGTGACGGAGTCCATCATGAAGCGCACGGCGCTGGTGGCCAACACCTCCAACATGCCCGTGGCGGCGCGCGAGGCCTCCATCTATACCGGTACCCGAGCCTTATGTTATTTGCATCAGCTCTTTGCGACATTGATCGAAGGGAGAAACTATAGTTCGTCCGCGTTAAGAATGCAGTGAGACATCAGTGCAATTGCAGGGTAAAGGTGTATTCACAGTGGCATTAAAATACAAACAAATTATATTAAGCTATTAGCTGACCGGCAGACTTCGTAGTACCTCAATCGATAAATAAAAGACCTAAACTTTTGTACAAAATAAACTTAAAACAAACAAAAGGAATCTGTCCGACAGGGGACACAAAGGAAAAACAAAATTGTTATTTTTATTTAATTCCGAGCATTTTCATATTTGTCTACCCTTTAAACATCCTCTGGACCACCACAAATAATTCAAGACCAAAATTAGCCAAATCGGTCTAGCCGTTCTCGAGTTTTAGCGAGACTAAGGAACAGCAATTCATTTTTATATATATAGATTAATGTGTATTATGTACGTCAGGCATCACGCTGTCGGAGTACTTCCGCGACATGGGCTACAACGTGTCGATGATGGCGGACTCGACGTCCCGTTGGGCGGAGGCGCTGCGTGAGATCTCTGGTCGTCTGGCGGAGATGCCGGCCGACTCGGGCTACCCCGCCTACCTGGGCGCGCGCCTCGCCTCCTTCTACGAGCGCGCCGGCAGGGTCAAGTGCCTCGGCAACCCGGACAGGGAAGGTGGGTCTCCTACTCAATAACTCCAATCCTCATCGGGACCGGGTCTGACCCACAAACACGCGGGATGAGATGTCCTACTTTTTTCTCGCGGTGCACTACTATTTTTTCTCCTACCAGACCGAGAATTCGTGGATAACCGAGCCGGGGTTCAAGGGCGAAGCCTTGGCAGTGGGTAGGGAAAGCGGAGCCCCTCCATACTTATAAAAAAACAATTAAGTAGATTCTTCACAGTAGATCCTGCGAAGCACGGCTCTTGCTAGGGTTCATGTTAGAAACGTCGTCAGGTTTGAGCCCCGTGAGCTCACCTACTAGTTAAGGTTACTTTGAAATAGCCTCTCACGGCTATTTTTATTTTTTATTGCTTAGATGGGTGGGTGGGCGAGTTCAAAGCCCACCTGGTGCTAAGTGGTTACTGGAGCCCATAGACATCTGCAACGTAAATGAGCCACCCACCTTGGGATATAAGTTCTAAGGTCTTAAGTATAGTTACAACGGCTGCCCCACCCTTCAAACCGAAACGCATTACTGCTTTACGGCAGAAATAAGCTGGGTGGTGGTACCTACCCGCGCGGACTTACAAGAGGTCCTACCACCAAATCTATCAGCTTAGGTAGGAAAAAAAGGCAGTTGTGTACAAAGGCGTTTCCTGTTAGGCTCGGTGTCCATCGTGGGCGCGGTGTCGCCGCCCGGTGGAGACTTCTCGGACCCGGTGACGGCGGCCACGCTCGGCATCGTGCAGGTGTTCTGGGGGCTCGACAAGAAGCTGGCGCAGCGGAAGCACTTCCCCTCCATCAACTGGCTCATCTCCTACAGGTACCGACTCTGCGAAGCTGTCGTTTTGAAAAGATTCCTTTAGTAGGGCTCTGCAAACAAATTGACCTCACATGGGCGCGGTGCTGGCTCCTAGACTTTCTTTTGCTAAAAGCTAATCATTATTTTAATTAAATTTTGAGTACTTAAATACAAAAGAGAAACAAGACGGTTTTGACTTATGAACGAAAGCGACAGATGACAATTTGATTATAAACTAGCTTTTGCCTGCGACTCCATCCACGTGGAATAGTTACTTTGGCATAATGCTAAATTTAACCCCCACTTCATTCACGTAGAATGTGAAAATATTTTTGAATTATAAAATGTTAAGGAGCTATTAAAACCACTATTTTGAAACATTCTTTATTAGTGCTCCACTTGTATTGGCCTTACCGTGATGCTATATAGCCTATAGCCTTCCTCAATAAATGGGTTAACTAACACTGAAATAAATTTTCATATCGGACCAGCAGTTCCTGAGATTAGCGCGTTCAAACTAACAAACAAACTCTTCAGCTTTATAATATTAGTATATACCCTTGCCCAGTGGCACTTCACGGACTTGAAGTGGTAGTCACAGAGGTCTATACACACGAAAGAGACTTGCAACATTCAGAGCATGTTTCTATCTCGCTCTCGCACAATTAAATCTGATGAATGAATAAGTTTTCATTTCACTTGGTATATTTAATTAAAACGTTACGTTCGCACTCAAACATTTATGCTTACGTCCGCAGCAAGTACATGCGCGCCCTCGACGACTTCTACGAGAAGAACTACCCCGAGTTCGTCCCGCTCAGGACCAAGGTACGTGTGACGTCACGTCCGGACATAGACTACGCTCCGGCCACTCTGTTTCGAGAATGTTCTAAAGCTAGAAGTTTCTTGAACAGACTTAATTCGAAACGGCTACGGACGTGTATGAAGATTACAGATTGTGTCTTCATTAAAAAGACGATATCAGAAGGTGATGTTATCGTTATTGAGATGTTCTCAGACGTCGCCTTGTGTTGTACCAAATCTTTCAAAGTAAATCCTGATTTTGATTAATTGAAGTATAGCTTTGGATATTTTAAAAAAATGCCTATAGTCGAATTATTTTGTCCGTGCAGTTTGGGTCATAAAAAATCGGAGCGGCGAAGCGAGTATTTCGCTCTCTCTTCCACTCACGAGCCTTATGGACGGGCATAGTGATGCGCATTATTGTTGTCCATACGCGTTATCGACAGTGTATTTAGTTTTGTCACTGCACCGACAAAATAATTCTACTATAGTAAAAATCTATAATCAATAGTTCAAGTGATATATCGCGCAGAGTTAAAATAAAAAAAGTAAACAAATTTAAAAATTTATATATATTTTTTTTTATTGTTGATATACATGCGTTACTACATCGACAAGGAATAAGAAGCTCATGAATGCTTATGAATGTAGACAAGTGATCACAACACAGATCTCACACCATCCAATAACAAATCCAACCATACCTGGATACACTTAATACAGATATACTCACAAGTAAAATGTGGTTTATATGTCCAATCTCTCTCTCTCTCTCCCCCCCCCTCTCTCTCNTTATTGTTGATATACATGCGTTACTACATCGACAAGGAATAAGAAGCTCATGAATGCTTATGAATGTAGACAAGTGATCACAACACAGATCTCACACCATCCAATAACAAATCCAACCATACCTGGATACACTTAATACAGATATACTCACAAGTAAAATGTGGTTTATATGTCCAATCTCTCTCTCTCTCTCCCCCCCCCCCCCCCCCCCCCCCCCCCTCCCCCCTCCCTCCGATCGGTTCCTCACTGCCGAGGATCGTGACTCCGTCCGATTCCGTCAACCAGCTGTCTCCATCGATCCCGTTCTGTAGCTTTGTGGAGTGCGTCGCTGACAGCTATATGTAATATAGATATTGATATTATGAACAGGTCAAGGAGATCCTGCAGGAGGAAGAAGACCTGTCCGAAATCGTGCAGCTGGTCGGCAAGGCGTCCCTCGCGGAAACTGACAAGATCACGCTCGAGGTCGCCAAGCTGCTCAAAGACGACTTCCTGCAGCAGAACAGGTGAGGGTCTAGTCCGCACGCACGCCTGCAGGCGTTGGATGCACATTTATTTCTACCTCCAATTGAATCTTGCATAGATGGGTGGACGAGCTCATAGCCAATCTGGTGTTAACCGATAACTGGAGCCCATAGACATCTACAACGTAAATGCCGCCACACACACAATGCCGTACTGGTGGTAGGACCTCTTGTGAGTCCGCGCGGGTAGTTCCTACCGGCCTGCCTATTTCTGCCGTGAAGAAGTAATGCGTTTCGGTTTGAAGGGTGGGGCAGCCGTTGTATCTATGCTTGAGACCTTAGAACTTATATCTCAAGGTGGGTGGCGCATTTATGTTGTAGATGTCTACAGGCTCCAGTAACCACTTCACACCGAGTGAGCTTGTCCACACGTCTAAATATCACAATAAAAAAAAAAAAGATTACATTACTAACATACATACGTCTGAAGCTAATAAAAGCGTATTAATAATGAGTCTATTTGTTGTGCAGCTATTCGTCGTACGATCGCTTCTGCCCGTTCTACAAGACGGTGGGCATGCTGAAGAACATCATCACGTTCTACGACATGTCGCGGCACGCGGTGGAGTCCACGGCGCAGTCCGACAACAAGGTCACGTGGAACGTCATCCGCGACGCCATGGGCAACGTGCTCTACCAGCTCTCCTCCATGAAGTTCAAGGTACAGGATCTCCACATGTAACATCTACTAGACGATGACCTTTTTTGAAGTGAAACTTCTTTAGAATCGTTGTACGACGATCGACGTGTAGGTGAGGTCACGGGACTCAAACCGAGAGTGTTGCTAACACTGGCAAGAACAGTGCTTCGCAGAATCTACCGCCGAATCGAAAACGCGACCCACCGAGAATATCCAGCGAGAAACTCACTGGGCTGTGTCTATGGGTTAATTAACTCATCGAGCTTATTTTGTGCTGACTTAACACAGTTTTAGATCTGAGAATTTTTAAAGAAAATGTTTGAATATAGCACAGGTTGTTACTGATTTATTATTTATCCCCAGGACCCAGTGAAAGACGGTGAACCTAAGATCAAGGCCGATTTCGACCAGCTCCTAGAAGATATGTCTGCCGCCTTCCGCAACCTCGAGGACTAAACGCTATATTGTCTTTAAAATATTAAAATATTATAGTTATTGAAACACTAAAGTTTACTGAAATGAATTTCAATGTAAAAAGAAAATATTCTGAATGACCGAAGCTAATCTTTTGTGTCGTTGCAAATGTTATCGATATTTTGTCGTCACAACATCGACTCTATTTACGAACGAAAGAGTGTAATGTGATTATAGAATTGAAATTTCAATGTCAGTAAATTATTGTGTTGCGTTGCTACATTTAGGAGTAATTACATGTGTAGTGATTAAAGTATAAATATCGATTCCACTTGTTGAATTTTAATCGATAAAAAACAAAAACGCGTCTGAACCCCGTCTCTAAGCGGCAGCGCGCTCCCCTGTACATATTCAGATCACGTTGCAGCGACGCGTTTTATTAACGTACTTGTGTATATTAAAAAAATAATTAAATATGATATTTATGAAGTACTACTAACCGTTTGCCATTTGTTGTATTCATTGGGTACGTAAAAATTGTCGAGTGTCCTCTTGCATTCCAAACTTATTATAGATAAAAGTTTTAACGATTTTATATTGTTTTTTTGAACGCTTGTAGCTAAATATCGTTATCGAAATGTAAAATCGCAATTCTTACAGTATTAGCCGGCGACGTCCGGTCCGGTTCGTGTTACAATGTTTAATCGTGCAATGGATATTGTTTTTGGATTTATCAGTGACGTTACGTGTTGAAAGTTATTATCGATAATAAATCGTAAACTTTAATTGTTGTTTTATTGAGTATTAAAATGTGTTTATNCGCTTGTAGCTAAATATCGTTATCGAAATGTAAAATCGCAATTCTTACAGTATTAGCCGGCGACGTCCGGTCCGGTTCGTGTTACAATGTTTAATCGTGCAATGGATATTGTTTTTGGATTTATCAGTGACGTTACGTGTTGAAAGTTATTATCGATAATAAATCGTAAACTTTAATTGTTGTTTTATTGAGTATTAAACATGTGTTTTTTATACTTTTTTTTTATTTTAAATATTGCTTCAATCATTGGACGAGTTCAGGACCAACCTGGTGTTAAGCGGTTACCGGGGCCCATAGACATCTATCTATATATCTATTATTCTATTATATATATAAAAATGGATTGCTGTTGGTTAGTCTCGCTAAAACTCGAGAACGGCTGGACCGATTTGGATAATTTGATCTTGAATTATTTGTGGAAGTCCAGAGAAGGTTTAAAAGGTAGATAAATATGAAAATGCTCGGAATTAAATAAAAATAACAATTTTGTTTTCCCTTTGATGTGTCCCCGTCGAACGGATTCCTTTTGTTTGTTTTAAGTTTATTTTATACAAAAGTTTAGGTCTTTTATTTATCGATTGAGGCACTACGAAGTCTGCCGGGTCAGCTAGGATACAATAAATATCAACGAAAATCGCTGTAAGCTTAGCTAAAAATTGTAAGCTTTAAATTTTGATTATCAGTGCCTAAATAATTTAGATGTCATTTAAATTCGATGAATAGACAAAAAACGTGGACCGGGAGTTCATTTCTCCATATAGGCTAATAAGAAACTCAATTTCTCAGCCTTTTTAATAAAATACATTCTTCTTTCACACATTGTCAGTTAAACACAAAAATTCAGACACAAATTTAATTGCCAATTGGTATACTTATTGTTAATTGCCACTGCGTTTAAGACTGATTCGATAAAATAAATGAGCAAAATGAAGCGACACATCGATGAACCGAATATGAGCGATACCACAATCCTCATGAAATTAGAGGATTTGATTAACATAGCAATGGGACCGCCTGAGGTATGTGTACCAAAGTCCGCGTGGATACCAAACATTCAACCGTTCCATTTAATTCCCATAACACTGTTTAAGTTCAGTCCAAACGATAATTACCCTTAAACTCTTTCAAAGAGCAGCTATATAGTTACATCCACAGCTACAATTTACAAGCGGCCATTCTGCCCAAAAAGGCTAGTCATGTCTCTTCCTATCACTCAAGCATTTACATCCTTAATTTTTCTAACGCAAGATAAGAGTTTAATTGTATTCTTTCATTGCGATAAATGTGAACAGATTCAATGGATTCTCACGGATATCTAGCGATCTAAGAGTGTCGTGTTTAATAATTTCCACTGCCATATAAATGCCTGCTTTAAAGATGCGTTGATTTGAGATATGTATAAATAGGCAGGCATATATTAATCGGGTCCAGCGGGAGTCAGCGATCCTTTATACTGAATAAAAAAAATAGCTAATCGCTAGGTTTACTTGATTATAGATTATTCAGATACTGGACTTTTTTCAGAAAAACATCATTAATTACAAAATGATTCAAACAGTATTGCACATATTAGCACGTCAAATGCGTATGTTGGAAACTCACGTGGAAGTTAGGATCAGGGAGCATTCCCCTATTAGGGAGAAGACTAAAAAGAAGAGAGAGGATTTTTCAACTGAAAGCTCTTCTTCTAAGAGTCCTAAAAGTAAAAGGGCGGGCGATGCCAAGGAAGAGGGCAGGAGAAGAAGCGGATCTAGAAGGGGTTCTCGTGAGAGAGGGAAGGAAAAAGTTTTGTCCCCGCAGGTTTGGTGACCCGTTTTTTAAATAAATCAGTACCTTTTCGTAATTGTCATCATGTAAGTTCTTTTTAAATTTATAAACTAAAATGCCAATAGGGAAAAGAAATAAAAGATCAAATCGAAGGTAGTGCTCCTAAAGATAAAGACGAAAAAGGCGTAATGTCTAAAGATAAGAAAGGAAAAGACTCAGAAGCGGATAAGTCGGCTGCAAAAGATGACAAATTGGATAAAAAAGAAAAGAAAAAGCACGAAAAAGCAAAAGAAACCGGGAAAAAAGTTGAGAAAGTAATGGGTAAAGATAAAGAGGACGAAAGTGACAAAAAAGACGATTCTTCCAGCCCGAGAGATGTAAGTGTAAAATTTCAAAATTAAAGTACAAGTTAATAATAATAATTACTAATAATAATGCAGAATTTGCGTAATTACGGGTTGTGACCTTGTACGGGTGGGAATCACTACCACGCCTGTTTCTGCCGTGAAGCAGTAATGCGTTTCGATTTGAAGCCTTAGAACTTATGGCTAAAGGTGGATGGCGGCATTTAAAATGTCTATGGCTCCAGGAGTTACTGAATACCGGATGAGCCGTGAGGTCATCTGCTCATCTAAGCAGTATAAAAAAATTGATAGCTCGAACCATTAGGAACCCTCCCGGTTCGACCTTTCATAAAATATAAATCTTATTTAATAGGATACGTAATTCTAATAATACAAACACATAAGTAAGTTCTCTCTTGGTCTCTTTTGTAAGTATAAGCTCAAATAAACTGCATTCATATGTTCGTCAATTTCGTGTTTAAATTTTACATAGTATATTATATTGCATTTAGTTAATATTTATTTTCTTTACAGCATGCTAAAACTGGACAAGTTCCTTCCACTACCAGTATTGAAGTTACAGGCAGGTTTATTTTGTAATTTTTTGTTATTGTTATGTATATATTAACTTTTTTTTTGTTTTTTTTTTTATGCTTAGATGGGTGGACGAGCTCACAGCCGACCTGGTGTTAAGTGGTTACTGGAGCCCGTAGACATTCACAACGTAAATGCGCCACCCACCTCGAGATATAAGTTCTAAGGTCTCAGGTATAGTTACAACGGCTGCTATTCCTTCGGATGCAACGGATGTTATTCCTTCAACGTGGTAGTCAATCGTGAACATTTGTTGAGTACGCATTTCATCAGAAAAATTGGTTGGTTGGATTCGAACACCGGTGCATCGCTCAACACGAATGCACCGGGCGTCTTATCCTTTAGGCCACGACGACACGAATGAATATACACGTATGTGGAATGCAATTTTAAGAATTATTCAAAATTTAAATCTCCTATTTGTTAATCGATTTATTTACAACTAAATGAAACTAATAATATCATAAACTTTGTAGAGGTGGAGAGAGACAAAGAAAAAGTATTATTAGGTAAGGTTTTAATCATAAATGAAATGAATAATTTAAAGAATTAAATTACGTAATTGACTTCTTTAATGTTTGTACATTTTCAGTGGAAAGGGGACCTATTTTCAGAATTGGTAAGCTCGATTTTACATTGAATCGATTTTTGGAATACGATAGTTGCGAGATTTTATTCTTAATAACACTCACGTTTAACATTGAAGAGTCCCGTCCGCGTGTCGGGAGTATCGAAGTTGTGACAATAACCCAGTTCGCGAGATTGGAAGCCGAGGTTAAAGACTTGAGAGCTTTAGCGTCACCACTGCCAACGCCCACGATTCCGGATAATGAAAAAATTAAGACAGGAATTATAAAGGGTACAGCCTCACTCACGGAGATGATGAAGACTATGCAGGTAGGTAAATATGCTCACGTAGAATCTAGGAGTGTACGAGCGACCAAATACCAACAAAGACCCACCAAATACGTGGTGGGCTTTATGGATATATATCGAGGGTTGATAGGTCATTTAGTTTATGCGACATTTTAGCAAATTTATAGAAAAGCCATTTAAAGTTTAAATTTTGAAAAAAATATATCATAAAAAAACATATTCAGCTACCTATTTCAATTGAGTAAACTTAATTGAAGTTTAATTAAAAATGTCCTACTGTTGATGCTAATACCAAATAAACCGCACCTTTATTTACAAAGATAAGTGTGTACTCAGTGAAATGTCGCTTAAACTAAATAGCCTTTCGCAGTGGCGCAGCGAGGGGGGCAAGTGGGGCATCATGCCCCGGGTGCTGCTCACAAAAGGAGTGCCAAATGGCCCCCTGCAAAACAAAGAATTGCTAGATAATTTTTATTGGAACGAAGTTCCTTACGGGACGATGCGGAGGGGTACCCTAACCGGGAAAAAACGTCCGTAACGTAAGATTTTTATTATTAACGCACACAGAGTACTACTTAACTTTGTAATAACGTACAAAAAATATAATAACATATTTTTTTTATCATTAATTGACCACGATCTCAGAGCGTTCGTTTGCGCAATACACTAACTCTTATGCAAACAACCTTAAATGAAGTGTACCACAATAAGTTCGCACGTTACCGAATGACCATGGGTTGTTGCGAAACTTCCAGTTTTATTTTCTTTATACCTCGAATAGAACTTAACATTAATATTTTTATAATAAGGAACTTCGTTCCTATCCGGTGTCCCACGACATCTTTTTTTTATTTTAATTGTTTTTTGGATATTTTCCATTTTAAATTTAGTATATTATAATAAATGTTAAATCGTAAATAAAAAGGCAAAACAGAAACACTAACTAATAGTTTAAATAGGGGCGCTAAAAAGGTATTGTGCCCGGGGCGCGAGTTAAGTTCGCTAAGGCACTGACTTTTTGATACATATTTAGGGCCTTTTTTTATTGCTTATGTGTGTGGACGAGCTCACAGCCCACCTGATGTTAAGTGGTTACTGGAGCCCATAGACATCTACAACGTAAATGCGCCATACACCTTGAGATATAAGTTCTAAGGTCTCAGTATGGTCACAACGGCTGCCCCACCTTTCAAACCGAAATGCATTACTGCTTCACGGCAGAAATACTTACCCGTGCGGACTCACAAGAGGTCCTGCCACCAGTAATTACGCAAATTATAATTTTGCGCGTTTGTTTTTTATTACACGATGCTATTCCTTCACCGTGGAAGTCAATCTTGAACATTTGTGGAGTACGTATTTCATTAGAAAAATTGGTACCTGCCTACGGGGCTCGAACACCGGTGCATCGCTAGATACGAATGCACCGGACGTCTTATCTTTTAGGTCCCGACGACTTCATGGGCCTTAGACTGTAATATCTGCTTTATATCGATTGTTAAGAACAAACAAGGACATAAGCATCATTTTGCGATAGGTGTCGGCGAGAATTCAAGCCGCGGAGCAAGCGGTTAGTCGAATGGCAGACTTATTAACGCAGCTGGCATCAGCAGGAGCCATCCCCCAGGAGCTGGTAAAAGCTATTCGGGACATGAAGGCGGAAGCGGACCGGGCGGCCGCCGCTGGTGAGGTTAGTATTTAATCATCATCATAATCATAATTCTTTCCTATTACCCTCTGCTGGGGTGTAGGGCTCGATTTTTTTTATTGTTTATATAGGTGGACGAGTTCACAGCCCACCTGGTGTTAAGTGTTAAGTCCCATAGATATCCACAGCGTAAATGCGCCACCCACCTAGAGATACAAGTTCTAAGGTCTCAAGTATAGTTACAACGGTTGCCCCACCCTTCAAACGGAAACGCATTACTGCTTCACGGCAGAAATAGGCAGGGTGGTGGTACCCACCCACGCGGACTCACAAGAGGTCCTACCACCAGTAATCCTTCCATTTACATCGGTCTTGGGCAGTCTGTTCTAGCTCCTCCCACGTCATGCCGAAGACGACTAACTCCTACTCCACCGAGCGATGCCAAGTTATTCTGATCGTATTTAATAGATAAACATAATTACTTATTGCTTAATTTCTCGTCGAACCTGTCACTTGCGACGAAGGGCTCGAGGAGTAAATTAACCCACAGACATAGCCCAATAAGTTTCTCGCTGGATCTTCTGAGTGGGTCGCGTTTCCGATCCGGTGGTAGATTCTGCGAAGCACTGCTCTTGCTAGAGATAGTGTTAGCAACGTCGTTTGAGCTCCGTGAGCTCGCGTACTTGTTCTGCGAATTCAATATAACGAAGTTACTAGAATAGGTAGAAAAAAACTGCTTTATTGATTGCATTGTAAATTATTGTTTCTTTACGTGCAATGGTGGTTGCATTCCCGTGTCTATGATATGTATTTGTATAAATCGTTTAAGTGACATTTCGCTAAATACAGGGCATTTAATTTTTTAATTAAAGTTGCTTTTTATCTGGTATTAGCATGAAGAGTTCGATGTTTTTGATTGAACTTTAATTATTTTTACTCCATTCACATAGCTGATTAAGAAGTTACTGTTCCAACGATAGGGATCATAGAAAACAGAAGTCTTTTCTAATCTGATAAAGGCTATTTTCATTTAATTTAATTTATCATCGCACCTCCCGCCATCGGAGCAGAGTTCATCCATATTATCTGGAACCGCTGCGTTCATGGACAGTGCGTTTCCAAAGATCTTTTTTGCCACGTACCATCCGGCTTTGGAATGAACTCCCCTCCACGGTGTTTTCCGAGCGCTATCACATGTCCTTCTTCAAACGAGGCTTGCGGAGAGTACTTTATGGTAGGCAGCGGCTTGGCTCTGCCCCTGGCATTGCTGACGTCCATGAGCGACGGTGACCACTTACCATCAGGTGGGTATGCTCGTCTGCCTAGAAAGGCAATAAAAAAAAATTTAAGATATCTGGCCTCGAGATAATGTTAATCCGGATACGTGTTTATGTTCCTACGACAGTCGGCAGGCGGTCCTAGGAAATCTGTAGCGATAGAATCTGCAGACAGTCCAGAGTCTACTGCGACGCAGCCGTCGAAGATGACCGATACCAGACCGAGCGTGGATTCCAAGACGTCTGCGACTTCTGTCACGGCGCAGCCAGTCACTCGGAAGGAGATGGAGTTAGTTTCTAATGACTCGGATATTGAGAATGATGTTTCAGCATCGTAATAAACGCAAATATTGGTATCATCATACAAATATCGATATGCAATATCGATGAAGGTCCATTTCAACACATGCCATTATTTTAAACTATATATTTTTTTTTATTTTTTTTATTTTTTTTTATTCTTATTGTACACAAAAAGAAAATACAATAAAAACAGAGTTAAAGAATGTCTAAATACTATGTACAAAGGCGAGCTTAACTCAATCATGAGTTTTCTTCCAGCAAACCATTAGCAGAGAGAAATACGATGTATAAGAGGGGAATAGTGTACAATATAAGAGCTATTAAAGCATGATTTTTAAACTAAGCATTAAAAAATCTAATATTAAATGAAAAATGCATATAAATAAAAATACATAAAACAATAACTTAAATACGATTAAAGTGACACGATTAAATTTATCGTATAAACGCGAATGCAAATCGCGTTTTCCTCTCACTTCATTAAATGAATTATTCGAATTGTGCCTTTGTTTGTTAAAATAAGATCTTAGCTTGCATAAACGATAAAAATCTATTTGTCAAACATTGAATTTACCAAAAGAAAAGGAAAACGACACAATATTTGTTAAACGAAATGATAAAAACCATTTCTTTAACCTTATCAAATCAATATAAGATCTTCCTAGTCGGATACTCTTGGCAGAGTAGTCATGGAACAATTTACTTAAACATCTCTACTAATATATAAATTATCTACAGTGGTTTTTACGGATGTTCCGTTATAACTACTGAACCATGCATCCGTCCGATTGACTTGAAACTTGGTATCCATCTAGAAAATACATGCACTTAATGGATAGGCTAATATTTATATGAGTTTTGGACTCCGTACACCAGTTGCGGGGGCGTTAATGATGAGAATCTTTGTGGGAGTGAGAAATAATAATGTTAATTTTAAATGCCCAGCGAAGCGGACGGGTACAGCTAGTATAATAATAAGTTTACTTGTTGGCAGAATATATATGCTAAGAAATTTATTTGTATTTGTTGTACCTTAGCGAAATGTTAGAAAGCCTCAAAGAAGAATTAATGAAAAACATGCATCACATGTCGGCGAAGGCTGCTTCTTCGGCAGATACAGCCGCTTACACTGCGAAGAACGTTGGTAAGTTTAGAAGTGCAAATAATAGCGAACACGAGGTTCCCTTTTAACTTTTCACAAACGCCTCGCATTCCATTAATATGTGACGTCATTTGGGGTTAAAATAATAAGCTAACAGTAGATTGTACACTAATTCATAACAACTAGTTTTTACAGCATTGCTGCTTAGATTGACGCGATTTAATTCAATTTTTTTCTTTAAAACTAACTTTTTTTTTAAATTATACCAACACGATTCGATTTTCGGCATATATCAGGCACAATTTTTTTTTCCCATAACTATTCACTGGTAGCCGAAGGGGCTATTCCAGTTACTTTACAATCGTGTTGTTACTGATGTCGGATTGACAATTTAGTTGTATTCATGTATTTGATATATTTCTAATCACGTTAATATATCGAAGAGGGGTGAGGAGGAAAGAGGAAAGAGGGGTGAATAAATGACTATTTGGTTTAAGCGATATTTTTGCAGCTTTACAGGAGAGCCATTTTAAATTTATAATTTGGAAAAATATCATTAAAAAAAACTTCGGCTATTTGAATGGAGTAAACTTCATTGAATTTATAAACATCGAACTCTTGATTGTACTACCAAATAAAACGCTGCTTTAATTGCAAAGATAAATGTCGCGTATTAAGGAAAATGTCGTTTAACCCTTATATCCTTTCACGCCTCGATATTACGTCTAGATTTGTTTTTTTTTAATACGCTTTTATTAGCTTCAGACGAATGTATCTTAATATGTTAGTATGTAACGGAATCTTTGAACATAATTTTGACCCCCTTCAAAACGTCGGATTAACTCGAAATTTTGTATACTTATTAAGGACCGATGACAATTCAATATTAAAAAAAGTTGAAATTCAACAAAAAAAAGAAAATTAAATAATACTTTAAAAAAACAAACAAAATACGCTTTTATAGAAAATTTAACTAAAAAATAGAAAATAAATTTCAATAAATTTGAATTAAAAATAGTGAAAGAAAAAATGCGTGGGGTGCTTGTTATCAGTAGTTATAAATATTTTATGAACAGATATGAGTGGAAGGGTTATTTTGATATAACCCTGAAAAGCACCCCACGCTTTTTTACAATAAAATATTTTTTTCTTACACTATTTTTAATTCAAAGTTATTAAAATTTAATTTCTATTTTTTAATTGGATTTTCTATAAAAGCGTATTTTATTCGTTTTTTTTAAACTATTATTTATTTATTAAATGAATATTTCGTTTTAGCTGACAAGCTGGGAACAGCGTTAGCGGTCAATACTCGCCTGAACACACTGCATTCGCTTGTGGCCGATTATTCCGAGCAACTATCGGGATTCGATGCCGGATTGACAACTCAGGTTGGTATTGAAGGGGGAGGGGGGGGGGGGAGGTCAAGTTAACAGTCGCCTGAACACACTGCATTCGCTTGTGGGGCAAGTTGTGAAGCCGAAAGAGTCGGTAGCATTATTAAGTATCGTAGGTACTTAGCCGTAGCACGGTGATTAGGTTCATATCAGCATAACTTAGGAATCCTATGACGTACAGCAGCCCAAGATCTGCAGATCGTCAATATCCAAATACCCCGTGTGCCTCTTAGGCGCAGATACCTCGGAGGAGGTTCAGCCCCCTTTTTTTTCGGGCCGGGGGCTGAACCTCCTACGAGGTCCCCGTGCCTAGCGGCCGCGCGGGGTATGTGGGACTGGTCCGCGACTGAAAGACCGCGGGCCCAAGGATGAGGTTCGGCCCCCTTACCCAAAAGGATGTACAGTAGGTTACAAACCATCAGTAATTAAGCAAAGAGGCTAATTACATACTGTCAGCAAATCAAAAAATGTAACACATTTACTCTCTTTTTCTTTTGTCGTATCACTCTTGTCGGAGCGGTCGTTGTCGTCATTCAGTTTCATTGCTGTGGGTAGATGCTATGCGTTTATAGTTATGTCCTAATTATGTCAGAACTTCAGTCTGTATGTATCTTTCCGTGTGCGCAGATGCAGAGCTTCAAAGAGCAAATTGTTCAGATCGATTCGGATCTCAAGAACGGATTGAAACTAATGGAAAAGGCCAACAATAGTGGCGAAACAGCCGGTTAGTTTTACGTTATATAATAGAAAATAATAATAATTGGGATAGAATCACGCATGGTTATCCGTCTCCAATTTAGGATTCCCTGTGTTATGGGAACCAGAGACTGACATACGTACTTGTATACTTGTAAATATATACATATATAGATAATAAGTACCCAGACAAAGACTAAGTTCAGCTCCGTTCACAATGTTGGTCCGATTTAGGAATCGAACCCACGGCCCTCGGCACGACAGTCAGAGCACTAACTACTGCGCCACCGAATTATAATATTATGTAAATAATAGTAAATAAAGATTTATACACGTAATACTAAAAATATGAACATATATGTAGATAGCTTCCTCCCATTCCTTTCCTTTCCCATTCCTCCTGGCTGAGCCTTTACTCGCCCACGTGGCCTGGTGAAACTTGAATGTTCTTCGGGCCACCTAATGCTTCACTCATAAAAAAAAACTTCAGAGGTGTCAAGGGATGGAACGAAGTTCCTTTCGATTAATTAGTGAAGGAATTGTAATTTTTTTTTTAAGTTATAATAATAAATTACGGCATTATGAAGAAGAAAAAAACAATAGGTACTATGAACTAAATTACTATTGTTGAAACGCTATCTCGAGAAACTGTACTCATTACGCGGACCAATCGGATACGAGCAATGTCACGCGATAAGCGCCTACACGTTGATTGGTCAAAATGACGGATCTAAAAAGTGTCGTGACAACTTTTCGTAAGAATTTTTTCCGTCTAGCCCCCTTTCACAACGCGCGATAAGGAACTTCGTTCCAAAAATACATAAGATCCTCCGTAGGTCTACGGGAATGATCGAGAGCTGCCATTTTTCGTCGTATAGTATAGTAATGGTGTAACTTGAGTCTAGTGGCAGTTTATTTACGATGCACGTCATATTTATTATGTATGGCTCGTATAAATACTTTGTTTGTAGAGCATTCATTGACGCCGATGTTGACATGTTTGATGATTTTGAAACTGATGACTCAGATTTGCACTCGGTTCTGTAATTTCAAATGCTTTATGACGATAGACTTTAACTTAACAAATCGACTGTACTTAAGAAATGTTCACGATTGACTTCCACGGTGAAGGAATAGCACCGTGTAATAAAAACCAAACCCGCAAAATTATAATTTGCGTAATTACTGGTGGTAGGACCTCTTGTGAGTCCGCGCCCTGCCTATTTGAAGGGCGAGGCAGCCGTTGTAACTATACTGAGACCTTAGAACTTATATTTCAAGGTGGGTGGCGCATTTACGTTGTAGATGTCTATGGGCTCCAGTAACCGCTTAGTACCAGGTGAGCTGTGAGCTCGTCCACCTATCTAAGCAATAAAAAAAAAGAATATTTGGAATGTTATTGTTTTTTCTAAATACAGCTATAATGGAACTGACTGAGCGCTACGAGGGTCTCGTCTCCGACTTGGAACAGACTACTAGTGCTCATCAGGGTCTCACCCATACACAAGCGCAGCTTGAAGATCAACTGCAAGTATGATCATCATCAATGTTTTATTTTATGTTGATTTCTTTATTTCGTTGAGATAATTAGTTTGTAGTTACCTACATATTGCCCTTTGAGTTTCTTGCCGGATCTTCTCAGTGGGTCGCGTTTCCGATCCGGTGGTAGATTCTGCGAAGCTCTGCTCTTGCTAGCGTTAATGTGGGCATCACACCGGCTTGAGCCCCGTGAGCTCACCTACTAGTTAAGATCACGCTGAAATACCCTCTCAAGCCTCTCAAGCTTAGGTACAAAAAAAAGTTACATATTACGTTGAACGTAATAGGATGTCTGAACGTATGCAGTCCATTAATACTCGTGTTTTAGATTTATGAATAAACTCATCATTTTAAGTGCCCATGTTAATTTAACTGGTGTTAGGACGACTTGTGAGCCCACACGGGGAAGTACCGCCACCCTGCTTATTTCAGCCCTGAAGCAGTAATACGTTTCGGTTTGAAGGGTGGGGCAGCCGTTGTACTGTTAAAACTGAGACCTTAGAACTCATGTCTCGAGGTGGGTAGCGGCATTGACATTGTAAATGTCTATGTGCTCCGCTAACCACTTAACACCAGATGGGCCGTGAGCTCGTCCATACATATAAGCAATAAATAAAAACATTTTGTGTAAACAATACCGTATTTCCTGGTTTTATATATGACGGTATATGACCATACATGACGGTACAACACTGCACCGATTTGACATTGTTTTTCGAGATTAATGAACAATAAATAATTCAGTTTTCTTGGTTGTCGGTCTCATAGAAAATGCTGGAATGCATTGAAATGCTACGCGAGCAGAAGGCTGATCGCGATGAGGTTGCGGACGGTCTTAGGGATAAGGTATGAGATTAATTTAAATGCTTAATGATACTTTAGATGTAGCCGAATAACTGGCTTTTGATGTAAGCTATCGGCTTAGAGCCGGGGAAGAGTAAAGTCGCTACTGTTGCCTTAGTAATAACACTTATATTCGTTTGAAAGCTCGTTTGCTGAAGGATTCTTCATGGCGCCCGAAGAAATACCGTGAATGACGAGTTTATCCCACAGAGTTTTATATGAAACTATAATCTTTTATATTATTCTGTTAGGTTAGGTTATATAGGACGATATAGGACGATTTCTAATATTTGAAAGGAAATAAATGTCTTCCCCATCGAGATATAATGTACTACGTAGTCTTCCCATTCAAAGTTACAATGTAACAAAACACGTAATACCATTCTATTTGATTATTTTAATATTATCTTCATAAATATTAGGCGTATTTTTAGAAAAATTCAGATTATTAGGCTCTGTAATATAATTGTTTGGGATGATCCCATAATATCTTTCTTACCATCGCATTGCCCGCGACCATAGTAGAGTTCATCCATACTACCTGGAGCCACTGCGTTTATCACAGTGCGCTCCAGAGATCTTTTTTACCATGATCCGGTTTTGGAATGAGTTCCCCTCCACGGTATTTTCCGAGCGCTATGACATGTTCTTCTTCAAACGAGGCTTGTGAAGAGTATTAAACGGTAGACAGCGGCTTGGCTCTGCCCCTAGCATTGCTGAAGTCCATGGGCGACGGTAGCCACTCACCATCAGGTGGGCCGTGTGCTCGTCTGCCTACAAGGGCAATAAAATAATAATAATAATAATGATACTATGTTATGTGTAACTCTATAAAGTATTATAGGCGGATATCTCACGGCTTGCGGGCTTGTTGTCCGAGTTAGACTTCGCACAGGCCCGATCTGAACTCGAACGGCGTTTGGAGCTCTGCCATGAAAAGTTCAACAAGCAGGAAGCGGTTTGGATGGTAGCTTCTATGCCAGTTTGTTTTCTGTCATAATTTTAATGCTGTCACACCCAGCTGACTGTGCCCTCGGTACGTATAAGCGACGGGAGTTTTCAGTCGATGTTGGACGGATGTTGGAGAAGTCTGTAAGCTCGTGGATTTATTTTTAAATGTCACAGGGAGCTAAATTTGTAGATATCTGGATCTGGTTCTACCGTAACTGTGTACTACATTTTTAACATACTTTTATTAGCTTGGTATGTATGTATGTTAAGGGAATTTTTGAATCTCATGACAATGCAATAATTTTGTAGCTTTGCCTTAATATCCGAACCAGAAAAATATGAAAACAATTGTTAGTTCGGATCGCTATATACGATATAAGGTAATTTTTTTAAGTTTCTAAAATATATTATTATCTTGATGCGTTTTGTGAATGATCGGTTGTTATGTCGAGCAGGAAGAATATCTTGTCGTTGAGGGCGAATGTTAGAGAGGTTCATATAATGGCGCTATTGCAGGGCGCCATCAGTGACCTCACATCGGTCATGGAGAGTAAGGCGCAGTTGATGCAGCTACTGTCCACCAAAGATGAAGTCCAGCAGCGTCTCGAGGAGCTGCAGGAGAAGCTGCGTAAGCTGGCCGTTTTACTTGGAGACCCGAAGGTTCGATCTTTATCATTTTTTTTTATTTCATACAGCGTGCTTAGCGCGAGTTTTTTACGTCTTGATCGCGTAAAGTTAACTCAAATTTGTATGGATTTAAAACAGCTTCCCTTTGCCGCTAGGGGCGCTGTTCCGACTCCATACAAATTTGAGTTAACTTTAACGCGATCGGGAAGTAAAAAAACTCGCGCTAAGCACACAGATCTCGGTCTGTATGTACGTTTTCTTCGCACCTTTTTACAGTTGTATTGAAACTGTTTTTGAAGTGAAACTTCTAATGCGACTTCCGACAAGGTTGCGTTAAACGTTTAAAGCTGCCATATTAGAAAGAGACAGAGCGAGAGTGAACGCGTGGCATTCGAACGCATGCGTGTAGTATTGTTGTTACAGGCCAGCGCGAGCGTTAGCAACAAGTAGCGGCCAATATTTTAACGAAGTACAAAGAAGTTTCACTTCATTCACACGTGCACCAAGTTGCACGCGCACCGTTTTTTTGTTTGAAAATCACCGATATTCTGGTCAGAACAAGAATGTGGTTTCAGGCGGCGATGTTGACTCGCAAGCTGTGCCGCGATGCGACGTGCGGGGCGTGCATGGCGCCCGCGCTCATGGAGCTTGAGGACGCCAACTTCGGAGCGCCTCCCCCCCTGCCCGCTCTGCATCCGGCCCCCGCCGCCCCCACCGACGACATATGCTTCGACGACTTTAAGCCTGAAGATCACAAGTGAGGAGAAAACTTTTCTTACGTTTGGGAGTTTGTGACATTGACCAACTATTTGAGCGATAAGAAACTAAGCAATTATTTTTTCTACAATTTGTTTTGTTTCCATTATAAGTAGATTCGCATACGGTCCACTATTGATGGTGAGTGATTAACGTCGCGGATGGACGTCAGCAATGCTAGTGGTACAGCCAAGCCATTGCATACCGCTGAGCATTCTCAGTAAGTTCTTAACCCACAGACACAGCCCACTGAGTTTCTCGCCGGATCTTCTCAGTGGGTCGCGTTTCGATCCGGTGGTAGATTCTGCAAAGCACTGCTCTTGCTAGGGCTAATGTTAGCAACACACCCGACTTGAGCTCCGTGAGCTCACCTCACGTCAAGGAGAAGCTGATATAGATTAAGACTATCAGCATACGTACGGAAAAAAGCAAGTCTTTTATTTGAGGAAGGACATGTCACACCGCTCGAGAAACACCGTGGAGGGTAGTTTATTCTAAAGCTGGATATTATAATAATCAACAGGAACAAGCCATACACCTCAAGCTAGAATTCTTTTTACTACAGATACTGGAGACTGATATACTTGTATACGTTTATATGTATCCATATACAGATAATAAACACACATGCAAAGAGCAAACGAATCTGTTCATCACACGACTGTTTGCCCGATGTTGGAAGCCGGACCTACGATCCTCGATCCCATAGCCAGAAGAGGGTAACTACTGCTCATACCCGATCCTGTGGACCGAATGGTAAACAGTCGACGTCGCCCTAAACAACTGCTTTTGCTAGAGCCAGTGTTAGCACCACTCTTGGCTTGAGCCCCGTGAGTTCAACAACACGTCAAGGTAAAGCTGAAATAGCATTTCAAGGCTATCAGCATGGGTAGGGGAAAAAAAAACTACTGCACCATCGAATCAGATTTCTCGATATGATTCTCGTATGATCGTCAAACTGTGGTACAGCCGAAGGTTTTGAGCCTCATTATAAGAGGGACATGAAAACATAAAATAATTATAGTCATATCAGTTGTAAATATGATGGTGGTAATTTCAGAGCCCGTCACATTTGTCACCGCTGGGTCGGCGGCTCTCACACTCTGATCTCGGGTGCCAGCACGAGGGGGACAGCGCCCCCCGTGGGCCTCAACGCGGCTCCCACCAAGAAATACACCGGCTACGGAATGGACGGACGTGTACGCATGATAATTGTCGTTTAGAAAGAAAACGTGCAACTTGGTGCACGTGAATGAAGTGAAACTTCTTTTTCGATGTGTAGTATTGTGGTTTTCTTCATTTTTCATCCTTAAATCAGATTGCTCTTGTAATAGGGAATGCTGTGTATAAGAGATGCGACATCTTCAACATTTATATTACGTATACTTTAAATTATAGATAGAAAAATATATATTATTATATATCTATATATTTTTTAAATACTTGATTACAATATTGAACTCTAGGTACTCGTTGTTAACGCTCGCGCTGGCCTGTAACAGGTATTATACTACACGCATGCATTCGAGTGCCAAGCATTCACTCTCGCTCTGTCTCTTTCTAGTATGGTAGCGTTAAACGTTTAACGCAACCCTGTTGGAAGTCGCATTAGAAGTTTCACTTCGAACACTATTAATAATTTAACGTATATACTGAAAATTTTTGAAAAAAAATATACTGAGCCTCATGGAAAAATCTAAGAATGAAATATACTGTTAACAAGAAATCAAAAAGAAATCAAGAGGGTGGATGACGGCATTTACATTGTTGATGTTAATGGGCGCCGCTGACCACTTCACACCAAGAGCGCCGGGAGCTCGTCCACCCATTTTAGCAATAAATAAATAAAAAATGTTGATTTATGCAAAGCTGCTTTGTGGATGGTTGCGGTGCCAATTATTTGCGGCAAGAATACGACCGACGGTGGTCTTAAAACTTTAAGATTATTTTCGCAATTATTAATTACGCAAATATAAATAAATTACCTGAAAGTTTTTTTTTATTGCCTAGATGGGTGGACGAGCTCACAGCCCACCTGGTGTTAAGTGATTACTGGAGCCCATAGAAATCAACAACGTAACTGCCGCTAACCACCTTGAAATAAGGTCTAAGGAATCTAAGGTCTCAGTATAATTACAACGGCTGCCACACCCTTCAAACCGAAACGCATTACTGCTTCACGGAAGAAATAGGCGGGGTGGTGGTACTTACCCGTGCGGACTCACAAGAGGTCATGCCACCAGTAATTATGCAAATTATAATGTTGTAGGTTTGATTTTTATTACACGATATTATTCCTTCACTGTGGAAGTCAATCGCGGAGATTTGTTAAGTACGTATTTCATTAGAAAAATTGGTACTCGCCTGCGGGATTCGAACACCGGTGCATCGCTACATACGAATGCACCGGACGTCTTATCTTTTAAGCCACAACGACTTCCTTTTTGCGACGAGCCTTTTGTTTTTACTGCGTTTTTGTCTTGGACTCACTCTACGATCTACGAATTTAGAAATCAATAAATTTTTTGGGCTTAGGTTTTTTCATTGTCATTATATTATTTCATACGGTCAGGCGTCGTTCATAATTCATATTTTATAATCTCTTAATTTTGTATCCATTAGAGCTAGTGGTTGAATTTGAAGAAAAATACAACACGAATCTAAAGAAATATTTGGAGTTCTGTATTTTTCATCTCTTTCACGTACAAGGATTTGGATAGATAACGTTTTGTGTATTTAATCTAGTTGTATATGCTGGAAGAAGAGTTACTGCCGTGCTTGGAGTGCAATGCTTTGAATATAGAAAAGGAGGATGCGACTTCTGTGCCCGGTCCCCGCGAGACTGGGGCTGGAGACCAAGGTACAGAAATAGATTACAGGAGAAGATTAAATGTACATTTTTATTATTATTCATATCGGGTCACTTGGCCTTATGAGGTTACTGGAGCCCATAGATAACAACAACGTAAGTGCCGTTGAGACATTTGGTCAAGTCTCAGTATAGTACAAAGCTTGTGCCGTCCTTTAAACAGAAATGTATTACTGCTTCACGGAAGAAACAGGCAGGGTGGTGGTACCTACCTTTTTTTTATTGCCCTTGTAGGCAGACGAGCATACGGCCCACCTGATGGTGAGTGTTTACCGTAGCCCATGGACTTCAGCAATGTCAGGGGCAGAGCTAAGCCGCTGCTTACCGCATGCCAAGCCGCTGCCTACCGCAGCCAGGCTGTGCCTACAGTGCGGGCTCTCAAAACGCCCTACTCCTTACCGATAATGACAAAAAGACACTACAGTTTGCAACCTGTTGGTTGAGCGACAAATCAGTACAGATTAAACTGAGCTTAGCATAGCCCACAGCACAGCACCCTAGATTGTCAACAATTAGGTTGGGAGTAAAAAAGGGTAATGAAATATATCGAAATGCCATTGACAGTGAAATTTTTTTTATCAATTCCAGGGAGCAACCCACTCTTAACAATACAACCAAAAACAGTGGAAATTTAAAATTGAGTTTATTTTTTTGGATATGTTCAATAAAAACGATATTTGTTTTATATTGCTTTCATTTATTCGTAAAAAAATAAATAAATAATTTATTACATTAAAATTAGCGTATTTACAGCGGTTTTTCTTATGTGAATTAAATAAATATTATTATTTAATTATACGTTGATAATCTTGTAATTTTACAGTTTAAATTAATAAATAGTGTGGAGCTGAAGAGCTTTCATACTTTTTGTTCCAATTAATTAAATGGTGAAAAAAGTCTATTCTGAAATGTGGCTCTAAAAATATTAGAATAAAAAAATGAGTGTAATCTGTAAACATTCCCATTTGTAATTTCACGTTAATTTTATTAATAACAATAATGATTAAAACGTTAATTATGACTTTAAAATGAAAAAAATCAAATAAACTTGACAATAAATGGTATAAAATTAGGTAAATTCGATATTTTATTTTGTCAGTTTTATCCAGCCAACTTGAATTCAAAGTTTCTTACGTCTGGAATGTGTTAAAGATAATTGTGTAGCCATGGCTAACTGTTGTTAAAATCTATTCCAAAATCACGATATTATTACTCANAGTCTATTCTGAAATGTGGCTCTAAAAATATTAGAATAAAAAAATGAGTGTAATCTGTAAACATTCCCATTTGTAATTTCACGTTAATTTTATTAATAACAATAATGATTAAAACGTTAATTATGACTTTAAAATGAAAAAAATCAAATAAACTTGACAATAAATGGTATAAAATTAGGTAAATTCGATATTTTATTTTGTCAGTTTTATCCAGCCAACTTGAATTCAAAGTTTCTTACGTCTGGAATGTGTTAAAGATAATTGTGTAGCCATGGCTAACTGTTGTTAAAATCTATTCCAAAATCACGATATTATTACTCATCACTCAAATGCGTTGAGAGATTGAATTGGAACTGAATAATTGAAAATAAATAAATTAAACATTAATCGAATCGAAAACATAAATAAGTACATATTTGGTAACAATAAATACATTATCCATTGACCGCTAAACAGTTATCGAGTTACATATTTTTTTGTAAATCGTCTTCTGTGATGCGGCTGCGCTGGATATATCTATGATTTGCGAAATGTTTTACAATCATAATTAATTATAATTATCTATATATTAATACGTGAAGCAAAACACTTATAGAGAATATAGAGAAGAAGTACACAAAGCTAACATTTTTTAAAAATAATGCATAAAGGATACATTAAATCAATAAATAAAACTTTACACACACTACATACCATGTATTTGACGCACACACGCATGCATACTATTTATTGTCAAACTTTTGTTCTTGACGTCTGTTGTCAAATTGAGAATAGAATATGGTTTTTCTTTCTTAATATTTTTTATAGTGTAGTCTTGGCGAAATTTGTGATTATAGGAGTATAAAATACAATCATAATAGTGTACAAACTTACAATTCCAATTAATTATAGTCGAATTTCGACTACTGCGGGACCTCTAGTGATAAATTAAAATGTATTTTAATTATGTAATTTTATGTATTCCATTTAATTTGACTTAAATCTAAGCAACGATCTCTACAGGTTACGTACGTAATTACGTTTTAATTTTATTTGCAAAACATTTTCGCGAATCTTGTCATAAATAGTTACATCTTAATATTAAATTACAACTAGCTTACATCGTAGAATAAATAGAATAATAAATTATTAATCACGATTATATTTCACCAGGATGTGAGTTTATTTTCTGTTATAATTGCGTGTAGCCGCGGTCCGTGACTTCACTAGGAACAAAAAGGTTTTAATTGCAGTGTGGGTAGTTTGAAATTTAACCTATTTCACTTGTAACTGTTTTTTTTTTGTATGTGAAATGATATTATGAGGTTTTTATCGGTGCTCGAAGCTTCTAATTGCTTTTCTGTTAACGATATGTTACTGGTCATAAATATCGAAGTCATTCAGACATTAGAATTAAAGAAAAGTAATAGCGAAGTTTTAGACACATATGACGTCACGCCTGGAAGTCTTCTCTCAATGCAGGATAAGATCAGAGCGTTTCGCAATGGAACCGGCCGCAGTCGTGGTCCCGGCTCGCCGCCATGACATCACCGAGCTGATGAGCCACTGATGAGGTGCTGGGGTCAGCGCCAAATGAAATCCTGGAATTTACAAAAGGACGAATACAGAATGTAGTTCAGTTTTTCTAAAATTAATTTAGTTTGGTGAGTCACTGTCGTGGACAGATCACGGCGATGTTTTTTTATTTTTGGTACGAAGTTCCTTATGGGACGATGCGGAGGGGTACCCTAACCGGAAAAAACGTCCGTAACGTAAGATTTTTATTAGTAATGCATACAGTGTACGACTTAACTTTGTAATAACATAAAAAAATACATTCATTGACCGCGATCTCAGAGCGTTCATTTGCGCAATACACTAACTCTCATGCAAACAACCGTAAATTAAGTGTACCACAATAAGTTCGCACGTTACGGAATGACCGTGGTTTGTTGCGAAACCTCCAGTTTTATTTTCTTTATACCTCGAATAGTACTTAAAATTAATATTTTTATAATAAGGAACTTCGTTCCTATCCGGTGTCCCACGACACCTTTTTATTTCTTAGATGGATGGACGAGCTCACAGACCACGTGGTGTTAAGTGGTTACTGGAGCCCATAGACATAACGTAAATGCGCCAACCACCTTGAGATATAAGCTCTAAGGTCTCAAGTATAGTTACAACGGCTGCCCTACCCTTCAAACCGAAACGCATTACTGCTTCAAGGCAGAAACAGGCAGGGTGGTGGTACCTACCCGTGCGGACTCACAAGAGGTCCTGCCACCAGTAATCGTGGACAGATCATAGCGATGTGTCACCTTTAATAGAATGTATTTTCCGACTGTGATCTATGATCGATTAAATATCGATAATAATCGTAAACAGAGGTTACAGAAACAAAACTAAGATAATGTCTTATGTAATAAATCGGAGAGCGGCAGTTATGTAACGTTGAATTATTAACTGTGGGTTTTTCATCTTTTTTCGCGAAACCTAGATGAAAATTATTATTCGGAACGTCGGAAGCAAAATAAAAAACATGCGAAATTAAAAATTATTGTTTACTTTTTATTATTTTTTTATTACTTAGATGTGTGGACGATTTCACAGCCCACCTGGTGTTAAGTGGTTACTGGAGCCCATAGACATCTACAACGTAAATGCGCCACACACCTTGAGATATAAGGCCTAAGGTCTCAAGTATAGTTACAACGGCTGCCCCACCCTTCAAACCGTAACGCATTACTGCTTCACGGCAGAAACAGGCGGGGCGGTGGTACCTACCCGTGCGGACTCACAAGAGGTCCTACCACCAGTAAAAAGATACGCTTTCGTTTGAATCGTTTGATAGCTGTGCGGATTTGTTTCTGTTTAATTACGTCAGTCCGTTTCCCAAAGCCAACAGCGATTAGTCATTGAGAATGTGGTCGGTTCACTTTCACCGGCACGCTTCCGACACGGTTACGTAACCGCGAACGCACCCCGAGATTCGGCGACAAGCCGTCTGACACGGACAGCCAAATATCAATACATAATGTATACATTCTATAGGACTCACTAGGATTCTCGGCTGACGTAACGGTCAGGCCCTCGGGGAAATAGAAAAAGAGTAGAGTAGTAAAGAGTAGTACAATAAAACTGAGGCTTAGAGCACATGTCTCGAGGTTAGGGGCGGCATTTACGCTGTTGGTCTCTATGTGCTCCGTTAACCACAGAACAGCAGGGCCGTGAGCTCGTCCAGCCGCCTAAGCAATAAAATAAATACAGCAACCCAAATTGGGTAGTACGTAATGAAAATGCCGAATTTTATTGCTAACCTATTTTATACGAATGATGAGTTTGTATAATGTTGTCAGTATAATCTGTGTCACTGTATTTTCCCTCCATTACTGCTGTAAAACTTCTATCAATTGTTTGTATCTTAATATAGTAAAGTTTAATAAATTCAAGAAAACTATCCAAGTTATTATTTAAATACGATAAATTGAGTGAACCAACAACGAAGAAATGTTTAATCTAATAAACAAAAAGATTTCAAAAGATAACACAACCGTATTGATTTTTATTTTAACGCAAAGCAAATAATATATACAAAGGTAAAAACATATTCGGAATAAAATCGTGAAGCAGCTATCGTAACTACTGTTCTAATTCGCTTGAAGTGCTCACGTTGCGAATGTTTTATTCTTCCATTCATTACGTTCAAAATGTAGGTTTTTTAGTCTGCACGCTTGTCAAGTCGGAATCTGCGCTTTGTGCGATTGGTTACGGCTTTTTTTTGCTTTCAGTAACGTCCGGTGTGCCGCTGACGTAACTGTTATGTGTCGGTTACGTCACGTTACGTGTAGCATAACGCTTCTCATTATAACTGTTGAGTTTGTACCGTCAAAATTTTTTGCATTTTGTTTAGGATGCTTTTTAGGAACGACCGTTTTGATGCTAATTTGTTTATATAATCTGTGCTACTTTTTTTTAATTTATAATGATTATTTTTGTTTATTCCGTATAATTGCGGACAAACGTGTTCTTTAGGATCGTCTAATAAAATACATACGCGGTTAAGCAATTTAGATTATGTGTAGTTTAGCTCTGAATTGTCGTGGAAATTGGGCAAATACAGTTGTCTATAATATCCCATTATCTTTACGTTGTAAATGTGAAAATGTATGAAGGATTACTGGTGGCCCAGAGGCCTTTCCAGTTTAACCAGGACAGGTGGGCGAGCAAAAGCTCAGCCAGGAAGGGTGGGATTTGCTAACAGCTGCCCGAGCGCCTCCGAAGGAGACCTCAAGAGCAGCTGCTTCGCAAATGAATCTACTACCGGATCGAAATTGCGACCCGCTGAGAAGATCCGGCGACAAACTCAGCGGGCTGATGCATGGGTTAGGTTGCACGTCGAACTCTTTGTCGAGTTGAAATTGTGTTTGTTTCTTTATCCTTCTTTTATGTCGAAACAAAGGAATGTGTTTTTTTTAAATAATAATTTCAGGTCCGAAGAGTGACATAGGCTAGCTTTTATCCCAAAAAATATCTTATCCTCATGAATGACTGCACTGACATTTTTTGGTGACCATGCGAGCGAAGCCATAGGTAGCAGCTGGTTTATTTTAAAAAATCCATTGTCACATTTATGACGGAGTACATCACTCGAGAATAGTTCAAATGATTTTTTTTATTGTGCTCTTAACTGCCAGGTAAAGGTTCGTATTATGTAGAGCGTGGACTATAGTTTGGACTGGTCACTTCAATAAAGTTATATTCAGAAGGATTTTTATTTTCTTTTAAAGTACAACACGTGTACGTACGACCAGAATTTTTCATTTTAACTTACACTAACTGTGTTGCCACACTTGTTAGTGTCTTCCCACATTCAAAAAAGTCATATAAAACTTCATGTTTAGGATTGCCCTAAACAGGTATGACTATATAATATGTTTTGTTTGTAATATGGTTAATGTTTATAAAATCTGCGTGGACTAGAGCGGAACGTTGTCCAAGTTTCACTGGTTTTATAAAAGGATCGAAAGTTAAAAATGATGATATGGTTATTTTTTTAGCTATGATGAAAAACCACGCCTGAAAGGAACTAATGTTCACAGTGCATTTATTTTTTAATAAGGCTAAAGGCAACCATAAATACATATAATATTTTTATCAGACAGCAAAAAAGTTAAACTAGGCTTAAATAAAATTATGATTTTACTGCCGCACGATACAATCATCCTGCTTGTTTTTTGCCTCGAAACAGTAATGTGTTTGAAGGGTAGGGCTGCCGTTTTACAATTAAATTGGGAGCTATCTAAAGTGAGTTGACCTCAGGCGGACGATAAGTCACAACTGTGAGTCGGAGCAAATTGTACACAGGCAAAAGCTGATCCAATCGAGTGAAATACGTGTAGAATGTAAGAAATATATTGTCTTCCAATTAGAGGTTTCATTTTTAATAGCCCGCCATTTTAATAGTCATGTGTCAAGCTGTCACACCACTTGACAGATGACAAGTAAGAACTACGTCATTAATAAAAAATGCCGACTTTGCCACGAAGAAGGACGGTTGTACTGATTACGCTCAATCATCGCCAGTGAAATTTCCTAAAACTGTTTCCAATCGAAACTGGAATATATACATTAAATAGAATTTATGATTAAGCAAACGTTGAGTTGTCAATATTTACCATGAAGTTTTTTTTTTTTTATTGCTTAGAGGTTTGTACGAGCTCACAGCCCACCTGGTGTTAAGTGGTTACTGGAGTCCATAGACATCTACAACGTAAATGCGCCACACACCTTGAGATATAGTTCTAAGGTCTCAGTATAGTCAGAACGGCTGCCCCACCCTTCAAACCGAAACGCATTACTGCTTCACGGCAGAAATAGGCGGGGCGGTGGTACCTACCTGTGCGGACTCACAAGAGGTCCTACCACCAGAAGGTGATTTTAAGCCGTAGCCCTGAAATCATGAATGTTGTTAAATTGGAAATTTAGCTGTTAATATAAAGCCCTTGAAGCCAAAACTTGTAATTGTGGTATCGACTGCAGTCTCATTAGTGAGAGTGAAATTTCACGCAACACACTCGAACAGAAATTTAATCATCGAATTGCGAATTTAATCGCATTCGGACACGTATTTACAGTAGCTTCGTTGCGTTGCTCACACTTTCCCGTTGCATTTGTTGATCACGTAACAATGTTCATACGCAACGACACACCGCCGATTTACTAACATCCTTATTTAAATGTGAAACTATATCGAAGGAATCCTTTCAATAGACTTTTATTTACTCGTAGAATTTCTTTTGCGGCTCCGGATTGTTTAGGCAAAGTGATTGTGGGTAAAACGTGCGTTTTTTTATTGCCATTTCGAAATGCGGTCGTGTCTAATGTAATAAAAAAATACAGCAAGCTTGTTAAAGATAATATACGATACAGTAGTATGTTAAGCGTGGTTCCTTTTTTTACATTTGTGCTGTTTCAAAAATGAATAAGTAATCTTTTGTTGTGGAACAAATTTTAATCAACATACCTTTTTTATCTTTTCAGAAGAACGACTGAAATGTAATTTTTAACGTTTTTGGTATTTTATTATTAATGTATATAATAATCAAAAGATCAATTTATATGGGTAGAACCAAAAACGGATGGAGTAAAAGAAACACTAATACTTCTCCTTGACATGTAGGTGAGCTCGCGGGCCTCAAACCGGAGTGATGCTAACACTGGCCCTAGCAAGAGCAATGTTTCGCAGAATCTACCACCGGATCGGAAACGTGACCCACTGAGAAGATCCGGCGAGAAACTCAGTGGGCTGTATCTATGGGTTAATTTACTCGTGGAGCCCTTCGTCGCAAGCGACGGGTTCGGCACGGACGGTGACCGGTGCTTGAGGTACCTAATGCATCGTTAATGGATCGGGAGGATCCGTAATGACGTGTTAAGGGCGACGTCGACTGTTTACCATTCGGTCCACAGGACTGGAAATATAACCCACCCTGTGAACGTCAAACAGTCGGCCAGTCGTAAAATTCATGCCAAATCTCTATGCAGCATGACAAGAGCACATGTTACGCCAACCCCACATTAAGTGGGATAAGGGCAAGCAGAGGAAGAAGACCCTTATTTGTATGGGCATCTCATATTATTTGTCCAATATTTTTGTTGTCGTTTGTTGATTAACAGTTTTTCTATTCGTTTTGTTTACGCGTTCCGTTTATTTTTGTAATTTTACTAATTTTTTGCGTCATTAGTTAAGATAATTAAATTTGCTTCATAAAAGTTCATGCCTATTCCCAAAGCGTTGTTTTTAATTGGAGCCCTACGAATTTTTTTATTGATGCAGCCTTTTGTTAAAAATACTAATAATGAAGCTTCAAAACTACATTTTATTCTTCACAAATACAATAAAGTACAGACTAGGGCTAAAATACTTTTTTTTTTGCAAAATCAAGTTCAGACGATCAAGGTATTGGTTTTTTTCATTCGTAAACTATAAACATTATCGATAATAATCGTAAACGATGTCTTCCAAATTACCGAAAAAAACTGCATAAATAACACAGTTTCAGAACCGCTTAGTGAGAGAAATAGAATGTATTCTATAAGGTTAAGTAAGAGTGCCGTTGTTTTTATTACAGACGATATTAAATGATTTACAATTACATAATATATTATTAATTAATCTTACTATTTTAATAAATTTAACTTTTGAAATTAACCGCTTTGGTCACGGTTTTGATTGTAGTATTTTTAATTTTAATTTAGGGCGTTGACAACTTGTCCTTCAAAAAATATTTCTATAAGTTTCTACAAATTGATTTGAAATTTTTAATGTATTGTAATACTTATAATTCGAAATCTTACATTTGACTTTTTACAAATATACTGACTGATGCATCGAACATTCTTTTCTGGCTGTAGTATGATGTTGCAGAGACAAAGCCGAGTCTTTCATTACCTCTGGCTCGACTAATACAGCGCGAAAACCGTGAAGAATCGCGTAATTTTCACAACGTTAAAAAAATACTTATCTGTTAATGTAATCAATGAGAGTCGTTCCAAAAACCTTATAACATTAATTTTGCGGAGCGTATTAATTCGAAAGTTTCTTTTTCTTGTGGTTCTGTTATGACTTATAGCTTACAGCATACTTTCATTTATTTTTTGTTTCTGGCGAAAGATTAATAATGATTGAAACCTCATATATTATACTAAATCCAAAAATATTAATTTGTGTTAACTTTCTAAATTCGGGAATGATGCTGTCGTTGTATGTCTAATATTTACCGATTAGTTGCTCAGATCAGACGAAGCTATTTATTGTTTTTATGTTCTAGACAGTTCTATTACTTTTTCGACGTAAGATTAATTCAATGGATAATACTTTTATTGAATATTACATTTTTTGTGCAGCTAAACAAATTAAGATATTACTCTTGTAATCATAGGTAGTGGAGCTATTATATGACTAGGTATGAGACACACCCCATTTTTCTTCATATGATCGTTATTTTAGGTCGTCCTTATTTAGCATTTTTTACATTTTGGTGATACATCATTAAAATGGATATATACTTACATTTTTATTAACGACGCCATCTTCTTTTCCATTCCAAAGATAGAATCATCAGACTGCGATGTTAGGACAGTGCAGAATGTGAACTTGGCACATTGTGAATCTCTCCAGTCGGTCTGCTTTATTAAGTCCATTGCGGAGGTTGTCAGAGAAGGCGGTGGTGATACGTCCACGTGCTGCAGATCTTCAGACATATCGTTGATTGATCTGACGTGTCTCCTCTTCACACGCTTCAAAGCTTGGCCATTATATGGTTCTGCAAAGAAGCTAAGAGTTTCCCTCTTAGCTCTACCTTGACTGTTGTCTGGTGACATCACCACGTACACATTTTCACTGGGCATTTTGTAGTTGTCGTCATATATCTTTTGGGTGCTTAGTATTTGGCGGTCCACGTCAAACGCCTCAAAAGATCGTTTATGTTCTTTCTCGAGTTCGTCTTGAATCTCCTCGTCGTTTAGTCCTGCACTTCTCATTAGGTTAACGTCGAGAAGTTTTCCGACTGCGACAACCCCAAGACCTAATGCTGCACCACCAGCCATCAATCCGAGAGCCGGTAGCATAGCGGGAGCTCCCGAAGATACAGCGGCTACACCGATTTTGTCTTGGGCATATCTTTGAGTTTGAATGGAATTGCTCGGGTAAAGACCTAAGTTGCTGGATATTTTATGTGTAGCTTCAACTATTGGTTCGAATACGGGTTGAGTTACTTTGGCGATCGGGTCGATGATGGGCCTAGTCAATTGATGAACTGTTTGGCTGGCTGTGTTCATTGTGTCTTTGATCGAATCTGTAAATCTTTTCCATAGGGATGGTTCAGGCGTGCGTTTCAAATAACCATAATTGTTGTAAGGATACCTGGGTACTTCATGTGAGTTATAAGCGTTTTCGTAGTACCTGAATTTGTTATATTCATCTTCATAATATTTATTGGCGTTGATATTTTTCTGGGAGCGCTGTTGTCCGTATCCATTAACAGGTTCCATAGGGTAAGGGTGGGCGCTTTTTGGAACATTCATGGTATAATACATGACTTTACGTCCCTTGTTGTCGTAGTTATTGTCGATGCTGTCTCTCGTAGCTTTAGCGGGTTGCACGCCGAGCTCCGGATGAGCATATTGCAGTATTGGGTTCCTTACGCTTTCATCGAAACCTGGCTTGGCATTCTTCGGAGTATACATCACAGAGTTGGGGAAATTTACTTCACCGGGATGATGGAGCATACGTCTTTGAATGTGGCTCTCCGCGAATTCCATATCTTCATGCGATCTAGAACTACGGCCACTGAAGTAGTCTCGCTTCGATTCTTGGTCATTAATCTGTTTGATGTATTCAATTAATTTAGAATTTGCCACTTTCGAATTGTCGGCTTTAGTGAATGGTCCGTAACCTGACTTTAAATAGTAATTGTCCTTTTTCTGTTTGTAGTAGTTAGACGGATTTTCACTTGTTGTGTAAGGTGTTATGGCGTCGCTGCTATCAAATTTCAAATTGTCGAACTTGGTGAAAGGACCATCTTTAGAATCGAAGTTGTCTTCTTTAGTGAATGGACCAAAACTTTGGCCTGGATTATCGGCTGCTAAGTCAGGGTAAACGTCAGCCTCAGGAATTGCTTTTGGAGGTTTATACCCTTCAGGATACGGAATTAGTTCACCATTTACAACCCTGGCGTTGCGCCATGTCTTTTTGTCTGATTCGTCATCAGGCATTCTAATTCCCTGAATTTCTGGGATGCCATCATCGCCAAGAGTTAAAATAGATCTACCACGCTTATTATTATATTTTTCTAATGCTTTCTTTATGTACATTGGCTCTGAATTGATTACTACTGGATCCGGAACTTTAAACCTTTCATTATCTCCTTCAGATACTTTGGTGCTCACTACTTCAATATAGACTGGATTCCTATCATTTTTGATGACTGGATTTTGTGGATCGAACCTATAATTCGTAATAGGCGCTCCATAGTCTTTGAAACTGGCTGAAGTTATGTAGACTTTTTTGTCTTCAGTTACTTTATCATTGTCGTAGGTCGGATAGTAACTTGTGGTTTCCGAGTCACCTTCCGGTTTCTTCCCATCTTCTTGAATATGCGATTCAGGGTACACTGAAACTGGTGACCAATTACCATATTCAGCTTTTACATCGATAGGTTCTTCTGAATGTTTGTTGCGATTCAAATAATAATCATATCCAGCTAGGTCACTGTTGACTGTGCCTAAGAAATTAAGTTTCCTTTGATCTCTCGTTTCGGTTTTGTTTTTTGTTTCATCAGTCGTATTTACAGCTACAGTGGTTTTAATGGAAGCCGTTGTGGGTGTTGGGGTAGTACTGCTTATTTGAACTGTGGTAGATTTCTCTTTTTTCTTAACAATAAGTTGCGTGACATGTCCAGATTTGCTTCTAACGTTCAACGTTTGCGTGTCGTGAGGATTCAAACTTCTTGATACTTTTAGTTCGGTTCTTGTTGTTTTCGAGGGTAGTATCGTCGTACGAATGGTCTTCGTCGTCGTCGTGGTGTTTTGTTCGTTGGTCTCTGATGCGGCCGTTATGACAATAGCCAGCCAGAGTAAGGCACCGGTCCGTATCACGGGAATCATCTGGAACCAATGAAAAGAAAATTAGTGAACTTTTAACTATTGGCAATAATTCGACTGTGGATAGTGCACATTAACATATTATTATTATTATATATTTATTTATGTACACACAAAAAAGAAGACATAATACAGAGTAATAGGAAAATTATGTACAATTCATATATATATATATATAGGTACATATAGGTTTGGGCCAGGGTGAATTCCACTATCCTTATTTCTGCTACGAATCATGGCATCCCACTGCAAGGCCAGGGCATGCGTAGGATGGCGTCATGATGTCTATGATCTCTTATAACCACAAAAATACGGTTTCTGAATATCACCACATTCTGACATACTGTTATTTAATACATCAACGCGACAAATTTCTATTCCACATATCGATTTCAATAAAAACGTAATTCTATATCATTATCTATCACCACAGGTGCTGGTAAAAGTGACACGTCAGATGAAAAGGTGAAAAAAATAAAACGTAATCGTTTTGATATTGTGAAACTTTATAGATTGAAATCATTTGGATGGTGAAAGTGCACAATTATAATGCTTCAAATGATTTTCCTGTTGTTAATAATGTGATGAGTGTGTTTTTTTGTTAATTGCATTTAATTGTCAGAGATTTGAATACTTTTAACGTGTCCGTCCAATTTCAGAGGAGAAAGGTTTAGGTGTTTTTTTTTTTTGAGTAAATGTGTGTTGAGTTGTATTTATTTAGTGATAAACGAATAATGAAAAAAAGTAACACGGTAATTTAATGTTTCTTTATTAATCACCTAAGAGTTTATATGTTAGCTTTTTAAAATTTAATATTCGGGATCCCTTGGCGCCGTGACATGTGTAAATTAATAAAAAATGAAAACCGATCACCAAAGTAATGACAATATATCAATAAAATTTCAATATGGAAACACCCTGAGAGTGTATTCTTTCAAATATATAAATAGCTAGCTCAATCCCGCGATGCTACCCGCGGTTATTGTCGTACCGCGGGTGACGCCGCGGGGCAAAGCTAGTCTAAAAAAGTAGTCTATGTTACTCCTTATATCATCAGCTACCTATCAGTGAAAGTCCCGTCAAAATCGGTCTAGCCGTTCCAGAGATTATCCGGAACAAACAGACAGACAAAAATTGTAAAAAATGTCATTTTGGTGTATTTACCTATATATTTTCATATGCATGTAGTAAAAAGCGGTTATTTCAATATTACAAACAGACACTCCAATTTTATTTATATGTATAGATTTCCACAATTAGTCCTTAATGCACAGTGAACTCGTTTAACATAAAAAATGCGTAGAATCTCCTTCAATCTTGTACTCAGCTAAAAATTCATACTAGGCCAAAAGCAATCTCTTGAAAGTATGTTATTCTTACAATATCTTTAATGGTCGGTTAGTCTTCAAGTGATGATGGCGCAATGAGACACGGTGAGATCTTGTAAGACACATAAAATCTGCCAACTCCCAAACTCGTCGAAGTCGTCGTGGCCTAAAGGATAAGACGTCCGGTGCATTCGTATCGAGCGATGCACTGGTGTTCGAGTCTCGCTGGCGGGTACCAATTTTTCTAATGAAATATGTACTCAACAAATGTTCACGATTGACTTCCACGGTGAAGGAATAACATCGTGCAATAAAAATCAAACCCGCAAAATTATAATTTGCGTAATTACTGGTGGTAGGACCTCTTGTTAGTCCGCATGGGTAGGTACCACCGTCCCGCCTATTTCTGCCGTGAAGCAGTAATGCGTTTCGGTTTGAAGGGTGGGGCAGCCGTTGTGACTATGCTGAGACCTTAGAACTATATCTCAAGGTGTGTGGCGCATTTATGTTGTAGATGTCTATGGGCTCCAGTAACCACTTAACACCAGGTGGGCTGTGAGCTCGTCCACACATCTAAGCAATAAAAAATAAAAATAAAAACTATCGTGACCATTCCGACAAAGAATGAAAGAAATAAGTTTGAAATTAAAAAAAGACAAGGGTATTTTAGATTTGTGTTTTGTCAAGTATCTGCTACGGATCGAACCCAAAGGCATTGTTAATAGATTAGCTTGTGTGCTCAGTTGGACTTGGCCCGAATCCTTCATAGTATAACATTGTTCACGCAATACCGCGAAGGATTATTGGATGAGCCATTTCAAAAATCCTATTGTTCATTCAAGTTTCGCGCATAATTTTAATGAATAAAATTTTAATTTGCAAAGAATAATTAGCTGCTTTGTTTGGTCATATAAACCTTCATGGAAAGTGTACATGAGTTTTGTGTGCTTTAATAATTTTGCATATATTTTACGGTACATCTGTATTACATTCGTTCAATGACATAAAAATGTTAGCCGATTTGGTGATTTGGATTTCACTATGTATGCGAGAAAATATTGGTAAATTTCTACGCTAGTGAAACAACGACCATAAAGCAACATTGGTAATCAAACCTCATATTTCGAACATTTGATTTACAGAAAAGCATCTATGGGAATGGCTCGAGTTCAGGAGGTTATCACTTTATGAACGTGTCCACGATGAAGGCATAGTGTTGTGTAACTTTAATGTAACAACATTTAGTACTGGTGGTATGATGATAGTGCACGGGTGAGCAGCCCCAATCTGCCTAATCTTTTCCTCTACGTATTCGCTGGTAGCCTAAGAGGCTATTTCAACTACGCCCATACGGGTAGGTGAACTCACGGCCTTAACCTTAGAGAATTTGTTAACACTAGCCTTAGCAAGAGCAGTGCTTCGCAGCGTCTACGACCGGATCGGAATCGCGACCCACTGACAAGATCCGGCGATAAACTCAGTGGGATATGTCTAAGTCTTAGTTCGCTTATCGAACTCTTCGTCGTAATCGACGATTTCGACGAGGACGGTGGCCGGTGCTTGAGGGATCTAAAAGCACCGAGAGTGATTCCGGGGGATCCGACAAGACAAGGTTCAGGCGACGGCGGCTTGGCGTTGCCGCATCACGGTCGGATAAGATCTGCCTATATCAATCACGAAGTAGTCAAGAGTTCCGGTCTTAAAATAGACGACAATGACGTCAATTCAGAGAAGCACCCAGATGGAAGATCACGATAAAATTACCCAAACAGCGAAATACACGTAAAATTAATGAAATACGTACTCAACAAATGTTCACGATTGACTTCCACGGTGAAGGAATAGCATCGTGTAATAAAAATGGAACCCGCAAAATTATAATTTGCGTAATTACTGGTGGTGCGTCCGCGCGGGTAGGTACCACCACCCTGCCTATTTCTGCCGTGAAGCAGTAATGCGTTTCGGTTTGAAGAGTGGGGCAGCCGTTGTAACTATACTTGAGACCTTAGAACTTATATCTCAAGGTGTGTGGCGCATTTACGTTGTAGATGTCTATGGGCTCCAGTAACCACTTAACACCAGGTGGACTGTGAGCTCATCCACCCATCTAAGCAATAGATAAAAAAAAACGCCGATTTCAACGAAGACGGTGGCCGATCCTTGAGGGATCTAAAAGCGCCGAAGGTGAATCCGTGGGATCTGACCACATATGTTTGGCAACATATGTGACGAAGGCGGCTTGGCGTTGCCCCGTCACGGTTGGATAAGATCTACTTAAATCAATCAGGAAGCAATCAAGAGTTCCGGTTTTAAAATAGAGAACAGTGACGTCAATTCAGAGAAGCACCCAGATGGAAGATCACGATAAAATTGCCCAAACACCGAAATACACGTAAAATATCAAAATTAGTTTAATTGTGCTAAATCGATGCATGCTCGATAAAGAACCACTACTAACAATAAAAAAAATACATTTAATCCTCGGATCATTAATTTAAAACGATTATTGAAACGGTGTGTTTCAATAATTTCTCTCAGCCATCGCGTGTAGGGTTGTGCCTAAGGATGAATCTTTACATAAGTTAAATGTGTGAAGATTTCTAACATAATACGTGCTTTCTTGATGACGATGGCAGTCGAGCGTGGACATCAATTTAACCAAGCCACAGCTTACCGTTGAAGACTCTTTTCAAGTCTCGTTTGATTTTTTTTCATATTATAGCGCGCAGAAAATACCGTGGTACGTTGCGGAAAATAGCTTTTGGAACACTGTGTATTAGCGTAATGGATCTAAGAATTAAGAATGAACTCCTTAGGCCGGTGGTGCCATCATAAAATATAAATGACAGTTTTATTTACAATTCCTTTATGAAAGCATTATGGAAAATACGGATTAAAATACAGAGAGCAAAGCCTCCAAATACCTGTTATAAATGGTCTTTAGCTTTACTGTTTCTGAGAGAGATACAAATTGTAAGTTCCGGTCAGACATTCATCGAAGTGGGACGTTTACCGATTTTCCTCACTATTTCCAGATTTTACTGGTGGTAGGACCTTTTGAAAGTCCTCGCGAATAGATACCACCACCTTGCCTATTTCTGCCGTGTAGCAGTAATGCGTTTCGGTTTGAAGGGTGGGGCAGCCGTTGTAACTATACTTGAGACCTTAGAACTTATGTCTCAAGGTGGGTGGCGCATTTACGTTGTAGATGTCTAGTAACAACTTAACACCAGGTGGGCTGTGAACTCGTCCACCCATCTAAGCAATAAAAGAAAAGAAAATTCCAGATCATTCATTATAACTATTTTGCAGTTTCGAATAATTTTTTTTTTTTTTAAAGAGTTCGGCTTTCTCTCTTTCTAACAGTATGTATTATAGCCCAAGAGCCCGTGGGCTCTACCTGTATGTATTTGACCAGACCTGAATTTTCGTACATTGAGACCCCTATACCTACCATGCATGAGGTGGGGACTCACTAAGCTCAAAGTGGTCGACGCGCCGAGCGCTCAGGTAGGACAGGTACCGATTTTGACGGATTTTAAATCCATTTGACCACGTCTGCCGTTTTGAAATTNCTGAATTTTCGTACATTGAGACCCCTATACCTACCATGCATGAGGTGGGGACTCACTAAGCTCAAAGTGGTCGACGCGCCGAGCGCTCAGGTAGGACAGG